ACAGAATATATATTAAGTTGTAAATGAAACTTTGGTAACACTTTACAATACGGGTGCACTAATATGCATTAGTTCATCCTTAACTAATGCACAGTTAATCATGAGTTAATGTATAACTCATGAAGAACTAAACCATTAATTAATGATTAATGAAATATGATTAATAGATTAAGTAATACATGAATTGCTATTAATTCAATGTGTCATTGTGTATTAATTCCTTAATTACATATTTTATCAACAAATTAATGTGTTAATTACCACAATTAGTCAAAGCTATGCACTTCAACTTCCAGTTGTCTGCTTTATTAGCTAATGATTTGCAAAGCTATCATTATGTTATGACTTTACTTGTTGAGGCACATCATTATTAACTAGTCATTTAGTAATTGTAGTAATTTGCACATGAATTTGCACTAACAATGAAGTAATTAATCATGTATTAATGCATATTAGTGTACCTGTCATATTATCTGGAAGTTGAAATACAAGGCTTTGGCTCATTCTGGTAATTAACATATTAATTAACACTATTAGTTAAAAAAAATTAGTTATTATCGAATTAATCCACAATTACATATTTAATTAATAACAATTCATGTATGAACTAATACATTAACCTTGCAGACTCTTAATTAGTTCCTAATGTGGTAATCATTAACAAATAGCTTAAATAATCATTAGTTACACATTAATTCAGTATTATCTGTGCATTAGTTAAGCATGGATCAATGCTTATGAGTGCACACGTTGTAAAGTGTTACCGAAACTTTTATATAAACAGATTGTTAGTGTCTTAAGCTTTTGTATGGTAGAATATGTCATAATCATGACTCCTGTAAAACATGAAGAATGATTTGTTGACTTGAGATAGGTGAGAAAATGTTAGTGTCTGGACCTCGTCAGAACTGCTTAAAGATTTGCTTCTACATTCATATGCAAACGCACATTTCTTTCCTTTTTTCCCCTTTGATCCTTCCATGTTCACATGGAAGACAGAGGTGACCTACATTCATAAGGTGAGATGTATTGACAGAATGAGGGTTAGCATAGGAAATGAGGACCAGTGGTGAAGAACATGCTAACAGAGCATTTATAAATATTACAACATTTTTGACAGTTCCACAGGCAAGGCTTATGCCTAGTCCCAGACTAAAATGCATGAAATATCAGTGCTATTATTTTGTCTGCAAAAAATAATCCTGTAAAAAAAAAAAAAAACGGTAAACTACTGGCAGCATGTGGTTGCCAGCATCGTACTGTAAAAATACAGTGTGTTACTGTTTTTTAACAGCTAACAGCTAAATGTATTGTCAGCTACAGTGATATATGCTCTAACACAAAAACAGTAAAACGCTGTATAGTTACGGTATAATGTTGGCAACCGCAGCTGCCAGTAGTTTACCGTTTTTTACAGGATTATTTTTTACAGGGATGGTATTGTTTTTTTTTTTCTTTCTAAGGCATGTTTATAAAAGCTACTTGGTTTGTAATTGAACTAAGGCCTAATCCTGGCTTAATCTCAACCCTGTCTGTTTTTAAATACCATTAAGTACTTTTTTTTTTGCATGATACTGCTGTTTTTCTGCACTTCCTCTATAGCTGACTGATGATTTCCCTCCTATAGTCTTAGGGCATTAGTCCTTGAGTATAATTACTTGAGCCAATTCTAATGTAGATCTATTTGCTTCAGTAGCAACGCTTAAACGGATCTGCAAAGGAGGTTGATTGAGAACTGCAGTGCGAGGAAAAGAGCCTGTGGGGCTGTTAGTTTGGAGCTGAACTGTGTTTGACAGGATCTCATTTCATTCCCTTTTATCAGCACAACATACATTGTCATATACAAATGATCCTTTCAAGCTATGACAAATAATAACCAGCATAATGGCCAATATAAAATGCACTATTGCGAAGACTTGAGCATGATCTTTATGCCGCAAGTAAATCCAAGGGCGTATGTTCACCAGAACCTGCAGTCAGTGTGGTTTGTCAGAGAAGACCTTGAGGCAGAGATAAATGCGCCCTTAAATTCTCCTTTCCACTCGGCTACCAATGAATCACTTTAAATGCATTGTTTTGGGAGCTTCATATGTTAGTCACGGAAGGAAAGTATAGTTCTAACTCTCTACGCTTTTTTATCACACAATAGATACAGGATAAAGCGGGACAGATAATGGGACGGGTGGTGTAGTCGTGAAGGTGCATCTCTCGGGTTAACAAGGGCATCAAACTGAGTTTATTTAGCCATTCGCGGTTTTCCTGGGGATTGGCAGAGATTTGCATAATTATTAGGATTCACACAATACTGCCGCTGCAGATAACGGTAACGAACGACCAGAGTCCCGTCTCCCAACTGGGCAGATTTACAGTATAAACGCACCACCATGAGACACTTTATGAAGAACCGACTCTAATGAAGCAGCACAACAAAACGCGGCTCTCAAACCAGCACATATTGGATACTTGAAATGCAAGCTCATGATGCATGTTTAAATGTGTGTGCAAGTGTTTTAATGGGATTCCAGCTGTGCTATTTTCCTCCTGTAATTGAGCGACTTATCTTAGTTCCCTCTGGTTGTCTTCTCCAGCACATCAGGCATATGCTAAATCCAATAGTCATTTAACTGCCACCGGTGAGACGAATCCTCTCTCTGTGTGTGTGTGTTTTAATGTTAAATCAAACCATGAAGACATGTATGTTGTATTGTCTTTCTTTAGAGGCTGATTTCCTTAATCAAAAAGTCAGGTGCTTTTTTGACATGTGCTGTTCTTTTTTTACTATTGCTCATACTGAGGGTTAGGGATTTAAATGTTATTAAAATATATGCACAATTATTTCTAGCTATTGGTAATAGGATTGATATCCTAGATTTTTTTAAATTTTATTTATCACTATCAGTTGTTTTGATTATTTAATTGTACATATATTTTTTTCCATATATTTTACATTAAGATTACATATGTTTTCATAATCTTTAAAAACACTAATATTTTAATTCCACTGTTAAATGTTTTTAAATCTTTAGCTAATTTCAAAAATGACTATCCATTTTTATGTTTTGATGCATAAATTTACGTCTAGCATTTAAAATGACTGATTTTAGGTTTTAGTGTTTTATTTTTAGTTTTATTTAGACAAAATTGTATACAATTTGAATATTAGCGTTTATTGATAATAATGACTATGGCTTATCGTATCAGCCAGAATTTGTAGCCTATTTTGTTGCGTCATGCACTAATTAATTTATAAATATGAAGTAAAATTTTCTTTATTATTTTACACATGTCCGCCATATGAGAAAAAAAAGAAAATCATAATAATGATAAAACGTAGAAATGATTAGATACTATATAAGAATTAGGAGATAGTCAAATTGAAATCTTAAAGATTAAACTTTATAAGGCAAAATGTCGTAATTTCTACTTTTTATATGTACTTTTTATCTCATTATGATGACCTAATTCCAGAATTATGATTTATCAAAGTTTTTTTTTTTTCCTTATGTGATAGAAATTGAATTGTTTTGGTTCCCATGTGGAAAACAGCTTATAAATCATTCAATCAAGTGATGTTTTTATTTTATTATTATAAAAATGCAGAAAGTTTTCTGTGATGGGTAGGATTAGGGGTTTGTCCAGTATAAAAATCCGTTAGTCTTTGGCATTTTTGGTGTGTGGGTGTGTGACATGGTGAGGTCCCATATGGACCTGTTCTCCAGTTGTGATTGAGTTTACTCTTGAGTGATTGGCTGGTGGGTGTACTGAGGCATACTTTTGAAAGTTAGAAACATTTCACATGTCTTTCCAACAGCCCACCTCCATTTTGAGCAATTTATTGATAGTAGCTTAGAACCAATGCCAGCAGGGTTCAGCCACAAAAACATGTATTGTTTAACATGTATAAACGATTTGCAAACTGACAGGACCCTTTGTGCGCACAAAGCAGCCGGATCAGGATCTGCTGCAGGAAGTGAGTGTGTTCAAAAGATTCGAAGGGTCCCGAAACAAAAGGGACAAAGGAGGGCTGGATTTTGTGAGGGGAACTCCAATTTGAATTCATTAGCTGTCACTCGTCCTGACAGCAAGTTAGAGCCATGATTCTGAGTGAGTGCGAATCACAACCGTTAAAGCTGGAGCTCAGGAGAGGCCTGGACTCTCGCCAGTGTTTAATTAGTGAGAAGAGGCCATCACTGACATTGTCATTCCATTGAACCAGCTTTCACTAACACTCATTAGGGTACACGCGCATATGTGTCTTGAAAAGCAACAATTTGGGTCAAGCCAAATTATTTTAAATTACTTCAAAACTATGTAAGATATAGTGCAAGATGTTATTTTTTTTCTAGTAGTACAGGTTTTGTAGAACATGTGAGAGAGGGGACACTGCATGGTTTCACATTATGATCTAAAAATCAAAACAAAACTGTTAAATTTGACAGTCAGTAAACGTTTTGTTGTTGTTGTATGGTAAAGACCAACGCATTCTCATCCTAGGCGTCATCTAACTGTCACTTTTGACCATGCGACGCGGGCAGGTTTAGGTCTGGGGTAGGGTTAGACCACTAGGAGACGCGTCTCATATTGACGCTAAAGGGTGCCATGTGCGTCAGATGTTGATGCATGGTCAAAAGCGTCAGTTAGATGTCGCCTTGGGATGAGAACGGGCTGTAAAGACTTATGAGATTTGAATAACTGCATATACAAATACACAGTTATCCATACTATTACCATTATATTCAATAAGGATGCATTAAATTAATCAAAAGTGACAGTAAAGACATTAATTGTTACAACAACAAAAATTTTTTAAATAAATGCTGATCTTTTGAACTTTCTATTTATCAAAGAATCATAAAAAATCATCATAATCATCACTGAAGACTGAAGTACTGATTCTGAAAATTCCGTACATTTAAAATATATTAAAATAGAAATGTTATTTTCAATAATAAATATTTTTGATCCAATAAATGCTGCCTTCGTGAGCATAATAGACTTTATAAAACAAAACAAAATCTTACCGCCAAACATATGAAACATTATGTGTATTATTGAACATATTATAAAAATATATTATTTTTCATCACAAATCAAATGGAAAATGGGCATAATGCTTCTGTGTGTATAGTTCAGATGACACCAGGGCTTATGGAGATTCAATGTAGCTTTAATTCACAGCACAAAACCATATTTCATCCATAACAATCATGACCATCTCTTTTTTTTCCCTCTCCTGATATGGATCACGGCACCGGTTGGCCTTCGAGGGGAGAAACCATTAAAGGCACAACACAGTTTTCGATTTTTTTACCTACTTCACACTCCTTTGGTCCACCTTTTTTATGTTCCCTTTGACAAATCACTAGCCTTTGTTGCCACATAAATTGTTTTCGTAGCTGGTTTACAACTGAAGAGTTTCAGGCAAAACTCAACTCAGCTTAATTCAATCATGCAATCGCACGATGACCTCACAATTTGCCTGCATGCGAGAAGGTGTTGAGATGCAGATTAAGGTCTAGAATAGGCTTTTTTTGTTTGATGTGAAACCGCAGTTGGAACTCCAGTCCAGATTGGTCCATCCTCTAAAAGTGAACTATAGAATTTGGATGAATGCTAATCCACCAATGTGCATTGTTGTGAAAGTAAAATAACCTTGAACACATTCAGGGTGTTTATTCATATCCTCTGCATATGGTATTTTGCATCCGAAACTGGCATCCATAATGTCTGGAAGCTGCATTGGGCATTATAATGGGAGTAGAGCCAATGGTTTCAGCAGCTCAGGATTTTAATAAAGGCTCTGCGGAACTCAGTGTTGAACGTGGTGTAGATGACGGGATTGAGAGCGCTGTTGACGTAGCCGAGCCAAGTGAAGGCGCTGTAGACCTCAGGAGGAACATGGCAAGCTCTGCAGTGGGTGTTTAGGATGTGGGTCACAAAGAAGGGAAGCCAGCAAATAAGAAAAACCCCTGCGAGACAACAAGGAAAAGAAAAATGAACTTTTGCAATTGCACAGTAATCATATGACTGGAATACAAAAGGAGAAATTGTGGAGGGTGGAGGTCTATCTTTTCCATGTACCAGAAGTATCATACTACTGACCTACTACTTGTGCCGAGATTCTGAAGTGTACAAACGATGGACACTTTACAATCCCATGAGGGGAACTGACTCTGGTAGTCATGCGAATGACAGCATAGTGAATTAATACTATAAAACACATTCATATTATAGAAAACTACTTTTTTAGCAGTCATGATGTCTACTTATTCAAATGAATTACCTTATCAGCGAGTATTTGATTTCAGATGCAGCCAATGATTCAGTTTTTGAGTTCTCACTGACTCACTGATAAATCGGTTGCAGTGTGAAACTGTATAATGACTTGTGAATTTCGGTCTGTTGTAAAACTATTCAATAACTTCAGCAGATTTTTGTGATGCTTTTTTGCCCAGAAGAAATAAAGCCTTTTTGGCAGCCCATTCTCACCCCCAAGGCATCACTTAACTGACGCCTTGGGAAGCATTTGGACATGCTTCAATATCTGACGCTTTAGGCGCCCTTTAGCGTCAGTTAGATGACGCCGTAGGATCGCGTCATGTAAGTGACGCTAAAGGGCGCCTAAAACGTCAAATATTGAAGCATGGTCAAAGGTGACGCCTTGGGGTGAGAATGCGTTGTTTTTGGGTGAACTACTCATCAAACTTCTAATTGTAAAGTATTTTTACATGTCAGAATTTTTGCAAATGACAAATAGCTTTGTTGAATTAACCACAGGCAAAATGGTCATATGAAAACCCTGACCAATTGAGGCAGCTGAGCCATTCATTCGAGCTAAGACATCTGTCTCCATGAGTGTGATTTAATTTCCTCCTCAATTAAGCAGACATCTCAGATTACCATCACTGTCATTTATCACTGTACAGAACACTGACTCATGGGTCATCACTTGACACTAAGGTGACCAGATGAGATTAGCTAAAATGCGGGTAGCTGGGCTACTATGGATACATGGCTACTTCCCCACCCACTCCTCCCAGTTCTTGCAGAGACGTTTTTGCTTTTTTCGGGACGTCTGGTCACCCTACTTGACATTAATAGAGCCTAATTGGTTGAGGATCTGGTACACCAGCCATGTCAGTGAAACGAATGAATGAAATTGAGCTTATCAATGCATATCTAAATTCGCGCCTACGGTTTCTTTGTAGAACTTTAAAAAGTGAGGGCTGGCTTAAAGGAGAACTCCAGTCAATTTTTACATTGAGCTCATTTTTTGTACATTTGGAGTGCTGTCAGTACAGACAAAAACGACAAAAATCACAGTGTTATCGTCTTTTTAAAATTCGCACCCTGTTGACTTCAATGGGGCATGTTCTAAACCTACTTTTAGCCTCTTAACATTCTTGATTTGTTATTACGAGTGCACAGCCATGTGAGTTGTGTTATTAAGAGTGACCACGGTCAATCTGACTGCAGTAGATGTGAAAGATATGAATAAAAAATGATGTTAATTCATCCAGCTCACATTCCTCTATTTGCTTCCTGTTTTCAGTTGAAGCCCACAACAGTCGACTGTCGAGTTCACGCGCGATCATTGGTGAATATCATCTCAAACCTCCTCCATGTGTTCAACATCTGATTCGGATGAACTATCCATTTGAGCTGATATTCTCAGAACACCACACAGGGGTAGGTTTGAGATGATATTCACCAATGTTCGCGTGCATGAACTCAACAATCGACTACTTTGGCCTTCGACCGGAAACACGAAACAAATAGAGGTATGTGAGCTGGCTGAATTAACATCATTTTTATTCATATCTTTCACATCTACTGCAGTCAGATTGACAGTGGTCACTCTTAATAACACGACTCACATGGCTGTGCACTCGTAATGACAAATCAAGGATGTTAAGAGGCTGAAAGCAGGTTTAGAACATGCCCCATTGAAGTCAACAGGGTGCGAATTTTAAAAAGACGATAACACGGTGTAGGCAACACTGATTTTTGTCGTTTTTGTCTGTACCGACAGCACTCCAAATGTACAAAAAGTTCTCCTTTAAGGACGACTCAACTTCCACAGACCATTTTTAATGTTTTATCAGACAATAACTACTCAAGATTTTGATTTAGTATAATTTTTGGGACAATTAGGGCCAGATTCGAGACAACAACTTAGGGTAGGGTGACCAGATGAGGTTAGCTAAAATGCGAGTAGCTGGGCTACTATGGATACATGGCTACTTTCCCACCCCCCCACCCGGTTCTTGCAGAGCTGTTTTTGCTTTTTTCGGGACATCTGGTCACCCTACTTGACACTAATAGAGCCTAATTGGTTGTCTGGTACTTCATGTTTTATAAAACTATATGTTGGAGACTGACTGTACTCTGTAGATGTTGTATAAAGCTGCTGGCATTCAAAGCCCTCACTATTCCCCATGTGGCCCTTTGATGGCAATCTGACAAACTGTTGCACATGCCAGGCACAGACTGACTGAGCTCCATGCATGGAGCGACTCTGCAACCCACTTTCAAAATGAATCATTGATTGAAAAAAATAGTACGGTGGCATGTGTATGGGTTGAGGGGGAGGTTTAGAGGAGTTCTCAGGATGAAAGGAAATAATTTTGAAATAGTAAAGATAAAAAAAATCACGAAATCAGTTTGTTGTAAGCAATCAGCAAGATGGTGAATTTCATAAATTACGTGTCCATCCCCACTACTTCCTCTCACTTCTGCTGTGTCTGTCTCAATGTCCATGAAAAAGTCTCCTCATCTGCTAGACGTAAGAGAGCGAGTTGAAATATCAGTGTTGAAAATGACATACAAGGTTGAGTAAATCAAGTCAATGAAATTACAAAATAAAGTGCAACCAAATGCTACCTTCACATGGGATTTCAATCATTGGATAAAATGCTCTTTCTGGTCTTCCAAGAATCCTGATTTATATGTTAAGCAGCACATTGACGCTAATAAGAAATTTTTCTTGAGCTCCAAGTCAGCATATTAACCTGCAGGATCACATGACACTGAAGACTGGAGTAATGATAGTGAAAATTCTCATTTGCCAACATGGGAATTAATTACATTTTAAAATATACAAAAGTAGAAAACTTATTTTAAATTGTAGTCATATTTTACAATGTTACTGTTTTTACTGTATTTATTAAAAAAGAGAGACTTTAAAAAAAAATACCAACACCAACATTTTTAATGGTATTTAAGGAAGCACTTCATGTGTTATGTTTGACCTTTAATTTTAGTGATAATTCATTGTAATGTATTATATAATGCATATATGATCTTGCCAAGGGTACCAAGGGAAAACAGATGTGTTTAACCTTCTAAATGATGCACACAAATGGTTTTGGGCCAAAACAAGATGCAACAAGATGAACGTAAAGTGAGACGGTTTTCTGCATAAATTAAATGTTGCATCACTGAGTCACTGTTGTTATGATGCTCGGGGTGACAAATTGAAGTAAAAAAATAAAAAAAATGACATTTTGTTATGCAAATAACTACAAGATGGAAAACCAAATACTGTGGTGAATGCAAATATTAGATGTCATCACTGTTGAATAACATTCTAACAATGTTTAAATCCAAAGGGATTTTCAAAAGTGATTATTTAATTTCATCTAATAAAATCTTACAAAGAACCACCATGCTAATTTGTTTTTTGAGAAAACAATTAAAAAAAAGATTGTCAAACAGTTTGAGCTAAATTTATTGTAGAAAATTGTGACAAGGAAAAGAAGATGAATTTCTATGAATACATGGATGAAAAAGGATGGATAAATGGAGGGATGTATAAAAATAGTAGTGATATAATGGATGAATTAATGAAAAGGATAGTGATATGATGGATAGATGGATGGATGTATAAAATAGTTGTGATATAATGGATGAACGGATTAAAAGGATAGTGATATGATGGATAGATGGATGGATGTATAAAAAGAGTAGTGATATAATGGATGAATGGATGACTAGGATATACTGATATGATGGATAGATAGGATGGATGGATGTATAAAAAGAGTAGTGATATAATGGATGGATGGATGGATGGATGGATGAAAATCGCAATGAATGAATCGCTTCACTTTAAAGAAGTATGTAATTTCTGTGTCACCATCCACAAGAGAATGTAACATTTTTTTTTTACACAGATTTTTCCCCGAAACCAAGGAATCTAATAATGGAGTCTGGATTTGTACATGAATCACATCTCACCTAGAACAATGGCCAGCATCTGTGTGGCTTTCTTTTCCTTGGAGTGCATATTTCTACACCGGACCTGACTGGGACACACCATGACACTACCGGGCGGACGCAGCGTGGTGTGTGTTCGTCCGTTTGACAACTTCTTCACCTCACAACTCCTAACTGTCACCTGCTCCTCGTCCCCACCTTCCTTTTCCGCTTGGTTTACATCCTGCTCCGTGCGAGCAAAGGACGCCTGGCTAATACTGCAGTAGTTGAGCGTGATCACAGGGGGCAGCAGTGAGTTTTCGGCAGGGGCGGTTTGAGGCCTCTTACGCCGCAGACAGCTGGAGAGGAGCCGCGGACGCATTACCTGCTCCGTGCTTTCCTGAACACATAGGGAGATGAAATGTAAGAAAACTTCAAGGTGTGCAGAACATCTTTATTCCTGCTAGCATGTCAGTTCTTTAATTAATTAGCACAAGGAGGTATGCTGTCCTCATTTCCTAAGGACTACTGAGTGATGTCACACCACCTTACACATAGTTTTGGATTACTTTTATTTTTACTTTGGAATTCCTTAAGAAAGGGCAATGAAGTAACATTCAGGCAACTGACATTTGGATTTTTTTTTTTTTTACAGCCATCTTATTTAATAATAACTAACTGTTACGGACAATTATATCAACTAGTTGAAAAACATAAAACATAAATAACTGATTGAATAACTTAACAAATCTTTATCCTTAAATATCTTTGTGGCCATTTGTCTTTCTCAAATCAACAAAACACACAGCAAAATGTTTCTTGATCAGTATTTTGTCTTGTTTTCTAGTAAAAAATATTAAAACCTCTCTTAAACAATAAATAAATAAATTGACCAGATATATCTTAATTTTTTCCTAATAAAATAGGTTAATTGAAATGTTCTCATCCTAATGGTAAATAGTTTTTGTTTTAAGCGTATACATGTAACAAATGAAGTCACTTTTAGGCATTTTTTTCTGAATATCTTATTAAACTTTTTCTAAAGTAAATGTATATTCTTTTATTATAAATTATATTATTCTATTATATATATATTTTTAAAGGGTAGTCATGCGATAATTTAAAATAAAATCTAATTACATGATGTGCCAATTAATTCATCAAATTAATCATAAATTTGGCTGAGAAATGATCCACTAAAGATCATTCAAAGTCATTGTTGTATTAAATGTATTAAAAGTGTCAAAATGACATTACAAAACGTAGCTTTAGAAAGAAATAATTTATTTGCGAATTTATATGTGTGTCAAGTTTAGTCAAAACTCTTCCGCAACCCGTGTATCCTCGCTCATGACTCCTCAGGAAGCCTCCTCGATCCTTTCCTCCTCGCGGTGCAGTTAGAGAATTGGGATTTCCTTCAAGATGGCTGACCTCGATCAGTTTCCGGGTCATGGAGGATGGAAGGGCGAGGAGACGAGGAGGGATATTGAGAAGCACCCTTTACGAATGGGCCATTGAACCATTGGTTCACCCGATTGATTCGGATACAAAGCGAATACATTCAGAAACAAAACACTGCTTTTGTTGCTTGGAGACAACAGTTCTGCTTTGGTTTTAACGAGTAATATTTTTGTTGGTAAAATTGAGAAAAGACAGACAATATTCTGTCTAAAACATAACACAATATTTACTCCTTATTTATAGAACTATTAAAATCGCATCTGCACTTGTGCTATTGGGAACAAAAGCACCCGAACTTACAGATGCATTGACAGCATTTCCTATGGCTCTCTACTAAAGCTTGTTACTCCATAACATTGAAGTGACTTTTGTGGATACAGTTTCAACAAACAGAAGTATGCCAGTGAGGAGAGTAAAGCACCAGCCAGAATGACTTGGGGGGCCATACATCAGAGCCACATATTTCCAGTTCATAGTTTACAGCCAGCAGGGATAAGTCTGAGGAGGCACGTCGACAGAAACGCACCCGCTATGCTAAAACAGGAAGGAGAATGCTGCCAGCGATCTCAAAATACCTTGTAGGATTTCTTCAGAGTCTATTGCACTAAGAAGGCTCATTTCATGCAAGATTAGAGTAGACACACACATTTCTATACACACATGCAGGCACACAGTGGTATACGCACATTTATCACATTGATCCTGATGGGGGAAAGGTCTCTTTTCTCTTTGTGAGTGCCATCTTGTAAACACGTCTCCTGTGGAGAGATGTTAAAGAGTCAGCGGGTGGAAAACAAAGGCAATGCAAAAGCAAGCAAAACAAATTTGGGAAGCAGCTTTATAAATGTAAAAAGACTGGAAAAGATGCTGAAGCAAGGCAGGAAAAATGAAGTAGGGCGCTATGGAAAAAGAATCAGAAAAATCTGATTTTCACTGCATTCCAATAGCCTGTGACGCTTTACCGATGCTCATTATATGACTAGAATGGATCATCTATTTTATATTTCATCCATATTTCAGTTACTGACAACAATTTTAATTAGTAGTAAACAATAACAACGCGACCTTGAAACTATTTGAACATTGGTACTGTCATCTGTTCAATTATAAGAGTAAAGTACTGGCCAATAAAGTCCAAGAACATTTTGTATTGTACCCCATTAACATTTTTTCATATGAAAAAAGAGAGACATTTTTCAAGTTTGTCAAGTGTTTGTCTTCCCAACAAAATATTCTTTTGTGTTCCACAGATAAAAGAAAGTCATACAAGTTTGGAACTGCTGTACCTCAGGGTGAGTACATTTCAGAATGTTCATTTTTGAGAGAACTATTTCTTCAATAAAATATATATATATATAAATATAAAAAACTGAAAGCAGATCTGAAATCTGAAAATATGGTACAAAATGAATCAAATGTATTTATAGCTCAAACACTTCAAGGTGTCAATGCTCAGACATAATTTTCTTTATGAAAATTAGGATGGGGGAAAAAAAGATTATAACAGTCTTTTTAACAGGAAGTAAAATATTCAGGGCAGGCTACAAAGCCTTTCCTCCATATCAAATTTTGCTCCAGTTAACTGGAACTAAATCTTGCAATAAAATTCCTAGGGCGCGTAGCAGAATGGCTTTGCTGGAACTTTTCCAAAGACCTGATGTGCATCTCACTTTCACATGAAGCCAATGATGCAAAGGTCCAATCCGTTGATCTGGAATGTTGTTTCACTAAATAAAACAGCCCTCTAATGTTTCCTAACAAAGACAGACTGGATTCCAAGCTTCTTTGAATTTAGGTGAAATGTAATGCAGTTTTTCGATCCAAGATAGCCTGAATTGGAGCTTAAATGCATTTCCAATCTATACTTACCACCGGTAACAGATACTTCTAGTCATTATGCACTGTTATTGGTGGATTATGTGTGTTTTAAGTAGAGTAGAGAATCCAAAACAGCTTGAGGAGTTTGTGTAAGATGTGAAATGCAATCTACTCTTACCGCTGATGGTGGAGCGGATGCTGGCTGAACTTTGCCACCTTGACGGAAGGTGATTCTCTTCCGTCTTCGTCTGAGAAAGATGTAGATGCGGACGTAGACCAGGAGGGTCACCACGAACGGCAAGTAAAACGACACCACGGAGGAGTAGATCACAAAATCGGGATTTGAAATCGAGCACACTGCAGGGTCATCTGCAAAACACACATGCAACACATCATTTCTTACAAAGTGCGTCTGTCACGGTTATGTTCTGTTTAGTTGTTCCTGTCAGGTCTATATAAGTTCTCGTTAGTTTCTATGGTTGCTGATTGGTTCATCTTTGTCCGGCTGTTCCTGTTTAGTTTCCTGAATTACTATGTGTATATATTCTTCCTTTTCTGTTCAGCCCTAGGAATTTTATTGTTTGTGTTGGATGCTCCACCATTAGGTGATAGAGACACAACAGTAGATACATTTTGAATTTCGTTATGATTCTTTTGTTTGCTGTTATTGTAAAATATTTCATTGTATAGCTATTAAGATTGAATTTCACAGATATTAAAAAATAGTGTGGATGTATGCAATAATGCCAGCTGTGTCAGTATAATCAATACTCTTATCAGCAGTAATTGGCGACGTATAAGATTGTTTCTGCTGCAACATAATTAGACCCTCAAAGTCCTTCCCTCCCATCTGCAGTATGCAGCCCTAGCAGAACAAATCGCATGCATATCTAGGAGGCTTGCATGTGTCTGAGAGATGACATTCATTATATCTCACCGTGACACTAATTAACTGATTACTCTAATTAAATGGATGATTAATTCCTTTGCAAACTAATTTATTGACATCCCGATGGAAGCTATAGCTAAAAGTTATAGCGATAAAATGAAAAAGTGCTTTATTGTATTTTGAAACCACATGTTGGTTAAAGCTACTGTGAAGGTGTAGCTTATAACAAGCATCATGTAAAGTAGTTGACTTACAGTTGACTTACTTACAGTCAAGCTACCCTTTTGAAAAAGAGATAGGCCCACAACATAAATTATTAAAGACAAGATGCAAACTAAATTAAAATTTCAGTTGTTTTTAGTTCTTGGAAATGGCACTACTATTTTTTTTTTAATGTATTTAAACTCTACCCACCAATTAAGGCTGCATTTGATCACAATTACAGTAAAAAACTGTAATATTGTGAAGTGTTATTACAATTGAAAATACAATTTTATGTTAGTATATTTAAAAAATATATTTGAATGATTCTGCAGAATTGTGTGACACTGAAGATTGGAGTAATGGAAAATTCAGCTTTGCCATAAATTACATTTTAATGTATTTATTTAAATAGAAAACTGCTGTTTGAATTTGTAATAATGTTTCCCAATATTAGTGATTTTACTGTAAATTGTATCAAATAAATGCTGAAGCTAATATGAATAAATTTGAAGCTAATATGAACTAAAAGTTGTCAAAATTAACATAGCCTGCACATTTGAGATGCATAGTCTCTAATTTTCTAGGGTCAATGGACAAAAATGCTCATGATTCATGCACTAAACAGATTTTTGTCCTAATCAAATGCTCACAAGTACCAACAAGTATAGCAATTCAAGTCATATTTGCTATTACAGAACACCTCCCTTAACTATATTGTCTATAATTGTCTACAAATTAAACATTTCAAGTCAGTTTAATGTAATGTAAACATTCAAGTTGATTGAACTCAATTTAAGGCAGCACCTATTTTTTCATTTTTGAAACACAAAATGTATGCCACGGCCAATGCTTTTGGCCACTGCTGTATACAGCCAACCCCATTTGCTATGAATTAGGCCTGTACAAGATTTCATCCCTGCATGCAATGGAAGCAAAATTGCAGTGGTTCTCAACTGGTTTTGCTTCAGGAAGCAGATTGTATTGGGCAAGCTAACTATGCATAATAATATGGTAATTTACATGTGTTTGCATTTTATTTAGCATTATTTATAAGAGCACCAATGACCCTTGAGTCACAGCTCACCTGTAGTGTTGAATCCAAACAGTAGAGGGCAGGAGACTGCAAAGGCGAGGACCCAAACTGTAGCAATCATAACTGAAACCCGTTTGCGGGAGCTGTGAGTGGTGTTGTATAGCACGGGCATCACCACAGCCGTATACCTTTACAGAAGGAAGAATTAATCTCAGAGAAGTCTTTGGAATACTGATCATGAACTGAAGCACGAAAGTGAGAGTTATGAGATTAAATGAAAACTTTTAAATGACCTCACAAAGTAATTTTCGAATATACACCCATAGAAAAGATCAAAGTCAATTTCAGATAAGCTTTCACTGCAATGCTTTTTTTTCTGGATCTGCCACAAAGCGATAAAAAGAAAATATCGGAATAAAAATTAATAAATCAGGACACCGCAAGAGAACGTGCAACATCTTTGCATCGAAGAAAGATTAATTATGCTCAACCCCTATCAGCAGGATGATATGCAGTTATATTAGCTTTTTCGTGATAGTTTTTCTTTATATCTGCAGCAGCACATTGCTTTAACAAGTAGAATACCAGAGGAAAGAGGGGGGAGAACCAGGCCAGTCTGAAAGGCCTAATCAACCTAAATGTATGCCTTTTTCTTCCCCCGGCGGAATACATTTCCCTGCACTCTGTATCATATATCTTTTTGTCTTTTCTACTGAATCGTTTTCTCACAGCCTTTCCATTTCGTCCTTTTTGATCAGCCCATTACTCAACCCAACCCCCCCTCCCCCCATCTAATTAAACTTCTATAAGTTTTCACACTCATGCCATGCAGTCAAAATTAAAACTAAGGCCCCTACCTGCTCCATCCATTAAGGTGTTAATGACACACCTGTCACTGGATTTTCTGATACCATATTAAAGGAATATTTTGGGGTTGAAATCTCGAACAACATTTGTTGATAACCACAAAAATGAGTTTCAACTAACTTCTCCTTTTCTTAAAAAAACGTAGCGGATTCGTCACATTTACCATTATTTGGATTATTTTTGGATTATCAACATTATGTTGCAAATGGTGTTGATTGAACTTAATTTGTACTAAACTTGGAATAATCTTTGAATAAAAAAGAAAAAAAAAGTACACATTTATTTTTAAGCCCCTACCTGTCGATGCTGATGGCACACAGGTTGAGAATGCTTGCAGTGCACATCATCACATCCAGGGTTACAAAGACATTGCAATACAAGCGACTGAAGAGCCAATCTCCGCCAACCACCTGCACAGGTACAACAGGGTCATAATAAGGGACTAGATGCACAAGAAAAATTGAATTGAAAAGAATATAAATATGAAATATGCCCAACTAAGTGACTTCTAGCCACACTGCCACAGTGATTATCCAAGGCAAGTAAGGAGAGAACTCACTTTGCAAATAATGAGTGCTCCACACTCAAACAGACTCTTGGTCCCTCTCTCAGAGGGCCTACGACGATAGCGCCCATCCGGGTGGCAAGGGAGATAATAAAGCTCCGGCAGAGATGAATGGACTGTGTGCTCCTGAATCTGACTGCTCTTTTCTCCCATACTGGCACTAATCAAGAGCGGCACAATGCCGCCTACTGCAGCCATTCACAAGATGTGCTGCCAAATTTAATCGAGGAATGCAGTCTCCGAATGAATGTTTTTAACTGTGAAACACCAAACCAGGGAAGAGTGAAGGGAATTTGATATTACGCTATGAAAATTATAATGTAGCTGCTGTAACTATGAAATTAATCAGGTTGATTTAGTCATACTAAATAAAATTTAAACAAAAGGTGTAACACCAATTAAAGGGATTTGCAAATTTCATTTGGGCCCCAAAATTAAAATGTTGTCATAATTTAATTTCTCTCAAGTTGTTCCAAACCTATATGAACACAAAAGAAGATATTTTAAAGAATATGGGTAACCAGACAGTTGACATTGACTTCCATAACAGGAAAAAAATAATAAAAATACTAGGCTATAAGTCAATGGCTACAGTCAACTCTCTGGTTACCAACATTCTTTTGTGTTCAACAGAAGAAAGAAATTCATGCAGGTTTGAAACAACTTGATGGTGAGTAAATGATGACAGAATTTTTCATTTTGGGGTTAATTATCCCTTTAATGTCAAAATAATTTAGGCTACTTAACTTTTTTTTACGGTGTAGATTAAATACTTAATGAATTGTAGCTCTAAAAGTAAAAATGAGAACCATTATCTGCTGCTCTCCAATCTATAAGCTTTTAAATAATGTAGATTTTTACTGCTTAATTAAACAATAGATATATTGATTTAAGCCTCGTTTCTTGTGTCAATGTCAAGTAATTAACTATTGATGCAAGAAAATAATTGGAAGTCTTAACTGATTCTAGCACAGATTTGACATGGATTTGTCCTTAAGACATGTAAACAGTGGGAATTAAATATTATTTAATTTTATTAATTAATATTTAATTATATAAATTATATGTTTAATTATTTTTATATTGTTTGGTGAATTTTCATCGACAAAATACAGTAATTTCAAAGAGGAATCCTCACAATCTAGAATTTCTCTTGAGGACGTAACAGGGGTTTCTTTTAATAGGGGTTCAAGTACGTACTGAAACCCTATTATAATTGTTAGAATCTCTCCCCTAAAATCTACGACTGGCCTCGAAGTGATTCTGGCAAATTGTCCGGCGCCTCAGAAGAGGGAGGCAGTGCACCTTCCAGTGGAGGTGGGAAGCTGTTGACCTCAACTGGGGATGTCGTCTGATGGTGGAAGGAATACTTTGAGGATCGCCTCAACCCTGCCGTCATATCTTCCATTGAGGAAGCAGAGGCTGAGGGCTCAGAGGTGGACTCGTCCATTACCCTAGCTAAGGTCATCGAGGTAGTCAAGAAACTCCTCTGTAGCAAGGCACCGGGGGTGGATGAGATCCGCCCTGAGTAGTACCTCAAGTCTCTGGATGTGGTGGGGCTGTCTTGGCTGACACGCCTCAACAGCATCGCGTGGAGATCAGGGACAGTGCCTCTGGGATGGCAGACCGGGGTGGTGGTCCCTCTTTTTAAAAAGGGGAACCGGAGGGTGTGTTCCAACTACAGGGGATCACACTTCTCAGCCTCCCTGGGAAAGTCTATGCCGGGGTACTAGAGAGGAAAATACGGCCGATAGTGGAACCTTGGATTCAGGAGGAACAGTGTGGTTTTCGTCCAGGCCGAGGAACACTGGACCAGCTCTATACCCTCTACATGGTGCTGGAGGGTTCATGGGAGTTTGCCCAACCAATCCACATGTGCTTTTTGGATTTGGAGAAGGCATTCGACTGTGTCCCTCGCGGCGGCCTATGGGGGGACGCTCCAGGAGTATGGGCTCCAGGGTCCTTTGCTAAGGGTTGTCCGGTCCCTGTATGACCGGAGCATGGTTCACATTGCCGGCAGTAAGTCAGCCTTCTTCCCGGTGCATGTTGGACTCCGGCAGGGCTGCCCTTTGTCGCCGGTTCTGTTCATAATTTTTATGGAAAGAATTTCTAGACACATCCAGGGCTGTGGGCGGAGGGTGTCAGGTTTGGGGACCACACGATTTCGTCTCTGCTCTTTGCAGATGATGTTGTCGTGTTGGCCCCTTCAGACCAGGACCTTAAAGCTCTCGATTTACCGGTCTATCTATGTTCCTTCTCTCACCTATGGTCATGAGCTTTGGGTCATGACAGAAAGGAAAAGATCCCCGTAACACAGTCTCATCCCAAGACGTCATATAACTGACGTCTTGGGACGTCTTTTGACCATACGTCAACATCCGCCGTTTTAGGGTACCCGTTAAAGGGTACCCCATGACGATCCTGGGACGCTTTACCTTTAACGTCAGTTAGGTGACGACGGGGTAGGTTTAGGGGTAGGTTTAGGTCTGGGGTAGGGTTAGGATCCGATTACGTCATCTAACCGACGGAGGGTACCCTAAAACGGCGGATGTTGACGTATGGTCAAAAGACGTCCCAAGACGTCAGTTATATGATGTCTTTGGATGAGATTGCGCTGATCCCGGATACAGGCAGCCGAAATGAGCTTTCTCCGCTGGGTCGCTGGGTGCTCCCTTAGAGATAGGGTGAGAAGCTCAGTCACTCAGACGGAGCTCAGAGTAGAGCCGCTGCTCCTCCACATCGAGAGGGGTCAGCTGAGGTGGCTCGGGCATCTGTTCCGGATGCCTCCTGGACGCCTTCCTGGGGAGGTGTTCCGGGCACGTCCCACTGGAAGGAGACCCCGGTGAAGACCTAGGACACGCTGGAGGGACTATGTCTCCCGGCTGGCCTGGGAACACCTCGGTGTCCCCCCGGAAGAGCTGGAGTAATTGTCTAGGGAGAGGGAAGTCTGGGCATTTCTGCTTAGACTTCTGCCCCCGCGACCCAGCCCCGGATAAGTGGAAGAAGATGGATGGATGGATCTTTTTACGAATGTGCTTAATAGAATATAATAAATAGAATATAAATATAATAAAATATAGTTTGCAGCTACTTAGTAATTGTTCTTGTTAATACCAACAAACAACAACAAAAAACACCCTGAACTAGGCTACAGCAGGTTCTGGTGTACTCACTTCCAAATATACAGCCCAGGGCATAACCAGTGATGCAACCAAGAGATCAGCAACTGCCAGACTGACCACCAGGTAGTTGGTGGTGGTCTGGAGAGCCTTCTCACGAAGCACAGCAATACACACTAGAACATTCCCAAATACAATAGCCAGGATAAGTAAGGAATAGAGCATGGCATAGTAATTCCTCTTCCCATCTTCAGTGCCTGATACCAGGCTGTAGTTTCCTCCAGAAGTGTGATGATGTTCTGACTCATTCCACTGCCATTCACTGCTGCTAAACATTGCCATGAGTGTGGAAGATCTGGGAAGATAGAGAGAACAGTTTTTTTGTTTTTTTTTTTACTTTTGGGAATCAATAGACAACATGTATTGTATCTCTAGGGTGTCTATTGAGTCTTGATGCTGTTTGAAACCTTGCATTTATATGCTGACAGCCCTGAATGTTATATTCTGCAAAGAGAATTGGTAACACTTCACTGCTTGAGGCATGACAGGCTGCTTGTTGTCTTCACAGTGCAGCTTTTATATCTTTGAAATTTCTATGTATTGATTGCAGCAATAAAAAACAAGATATCGTAATATATATATATATATATATATATATATATATATTGTGAAGGCTCATTTGGAGAGGTATACTTTATAACTTGTATTGCCACAATGTACACCTGTCACGTCCAGCCCATATTATGCAACCCTTTACATTTGGAATTCAGAAATAAATTATGGCTAATAATACAGAATATTGATTCAAGTAAAAACTAGTCAATCTAGATCAATGTTAAATCTTATAATCTTATAATCTAAATCTTAGAATTATAGCTATAATAAACATTAAATAAAATTCATTAATCTCGAAATTTAACTAAATCTTAAACATGGATGACAAGTGATGTTCCAAAATGCATTGCAGATAAAAAAAATCTAAAAGTTGCAATGTTGTTTCATAAAGGCACACTCATTGACGCCAAGGAAAAACAAATCATGGTGATAATCTGCACAAATGTTTACGCATGTATTCAATTGGTTAATGGATAACACCCAGTTATGTGCAGCATTCCAGAGGCAGATTACACGATTTACAATGTGTCTACCTGTTAAGCATCTCCAGCGAAGAACCGAATCAGAACCACCTCTGAAGGCACTTTCCCTGAGATTAAAGTTATCCGTCCAGTTGCTTTTCGCGCGAGCCGTTCATGCTGAGGAAGGGACTCCATCCTTCACGCGCACCGGGCGAGCACAATATGTGAAACTTATTAAACCACAGGTCCAACAATACTTCCACTCGTTGCTTTTGTTCACCGAATAACCAGCCAGCACCCAAATGGTTTCGCACAGAGCTTGATTCGCCAGGTTGGTTGGTTACAGCCGAGGTACGATTCATTCCATCTCCAAGAGGTCTTTTACGCACGAAGCATCTGCTCTCATTAGGTCAATGATTTTGGTGGTAGATCAAATTTATTTTGAAGTGAATCCAGGTTGGTGAAAAAATAAAATAATATCTCAAAAATCCCAATTGTAAATCATGGGATAGCTCTACGGTATTCGCGTTCGCTGACGATTTCGAAAGCTGTCTATTTACACACGGTTCACTCTCAGGCTGTGATCATAACGACAGTCTGAAAATAGCTGTTACCTGTGACCGACAGCAAATCGGTTAACAGCACAAGAGCCACACCGAGTTTGCGTGATAATAGCACGTTAAAATGATAAACTTACCGAGAAAATAATTGCGCTTAATAATTATGGGAGAGATTAGAATTTTGGAGAGACTAGTGGCCGTACTTTTTCTATTGAATATTTTTAAGGTGGGTTTATTATTGAAAGTAAATTATAGGCATTGTCTTGAGTCTTGGCAAAAAAGCTATTAAATATTTTCACCGTTGTAGAGGGAAAAAAATGTTCATTAAACCAAATGTGCTCCAAATATGCATGCTGTCAATATGTGGTAATTTGTCATTGACCTGTAAATTATTAGGTCAGGACAGAAATACCTAAAAGCTATAACTAACAAATAAATTATGGTTTATTAATCTCAAAATAAAGAAATTTGTCACAATGGAACCAGCCATTAAAAGTAAAACTAAACAAAACAACAAATAATAGCCTATAAAAAAAATCTGTAGAGAAACAGCAAAAAATAAAAAGGCTAAAATACCTAAAAATGTACCTAAAATGTCAAACTATTGTTTTGGCCAACAATTACTGTAATTAATTATTAATGTATAAACCACTTAACTTCATTAAAATGTGACCACTTACCCCTACCAAATATGACAAATACCGGTACCCTTCTCCTGATAACACAGTTCAACACTTTAGTTAAAAATCGTACAGCTGAAAACATACATTTTAAAATTTAATTTGAAAAGATTTTCACCTTGGTGTTAAAAACCAGAATGTGAAATTGTATTTTTGACTCAAAGCCTTTTAGTTACTAAGAGAGAATGTGCTGTGACAACTTGCCCCAGTATCAGTATCTTCTCTTATACTGATGTGATGGGGGAGGTATTTAGCAAGCAAAGAGGTCAGAAAATCAGGAACAAGGGCAAAAGAGGGAAAATAAAATGAAATCGAGAGTTGGAATATGGAGAAAACATGAAAGCTAATAAACCTCAGGCATATTTAGGTCCCCTGTGGCAAACAAAGAAATTAGTTTTAGATTCTTTATTTTACTAACTGGCTCAGTAGTGTAAGCCCATTATGGCTGGGGGTAAAAGTGACACGGTCACATTTATCATAGTCTGTTCTCATCGTTCAGGGAACAACAAGGCTCAGGCTCAGATAACGTGTGCCAAATCCAATACAGCTTTTGCTTACATCTGATGAACTACCAATTACTGTTACCTGTAACTCCTCAATAACAGTGCTCTATGAATTGACACTCAAATAATTCTTTCCAGGATGGATGAAAGAAGGTGTTGATTTTATTGCACTGCAGTCCAATGAAAAATGTGCCAGCCTTGATCTGTGTTCAGTATCAGTCTGACAGCTATTTACTAAGATGCAGCCGACCACATCCAAACAGCCACCAGTGAAATGCGCATCCGAGCACCTGAGACCATGAAACCATGCTTGCTGGCCATAAAACGCTCCTTCATTTTGCCTAATTGCATTACTGCCACCAAGTGGTAACAACCAAAAGGCCAAACTAAAACCAAACAGAAAGTCATGGAAACCTTTTTTTATTTTAAGCTTTTTATTTATTCGAGATCCAAGTCAGTTTGATATAATTCAATTTGAAATGACTTGTACAACCAAAGTTGATTATACTTAAAAATGAAGGCAGCAAGTTTATAAGTTGAAATAGGTGGAATTTACATAGAGTGTTATTCACATACAATGAGACATATTAAGAAATATTCTAATGAAGCACATTTGTAAATATATATTATATTCACACTGGTTTTTACAGTCCAATCCCTTTTAAATTCTTCTAATTCAGTCAGATGCAGCTGTTATTTAAAGTACTTTTCTCCATCCATTATTTGGTTTTATTAAGTTTGATTAATAATAACAATAGATGAACCATTCAAAATATATGAATATCGACACTAATATTAAGTCAATTCAAATTTACTTCAAATTTATTTTATTTCAAATTTATTTTCAAATTGTATTTCCAGATTAATGGTCCAGATCTATGATTATTACAGTAATATGAAGTTAATTTAATTAAAAATGCTGCCCAGTTAGTACCATTACTTTTTCTCATGTTCTTCCCAATCAATGTATCCGCCCGCATAATGCCGTGCCCTAAAAAAAGAAGAAGAAAAGATGTAGCACCTCTAACAACAAGGGATATTTAATTAATTGGATAATATTATGTATAGGCTTATAATGTGATGTGTGTGTGTGTGTGTGTTTTCAGTAGCCTACTTCAAGAATCCTAGACGATGAGCAATTTCGAGAGCAGACAAACTCCTTTTCCCACTTCGGCAATGGAAAACTATGTCATCATCTTCCTTTTGGGGGGCTTTCACCTTAAACTGCAGTTGAAACTGTTGTGGTGGGAGCTTTAGTGACTCCTCAAGCTGTCCCACTGAGAGACACATTAAAACCGAGAGTTAGTGTGCACACTGAGAAAAGAAAAACACTGATTCTATACACTTCAGTGATGACTCACATGGAATGTTGATGGAATTAGGAATCCGACCAGCCTGGAATTCATCTGGATTTCTGACGTCAAATAGCTGTACGCTGTGATTGGCCAGCATAGCTTTGAGCTGTTCGTATGTCACAACTGACGCTGAAATAGTGAAAATCACAAAGTAATGATACCAATGCAAGATCATATTTGATCTTAGTTGATATTCTATTATTGTCAATTAATATAATGTTCAGGTCAGTGAAAATCATGTAAGTTAAAAAACATTTTACAAGAAAATCCTGCTAATCATGCACTGTAAAAAATATTGTTGGTTTAACTTGAAAAATTAAGTAACCTGGTTGCCTTAAAATTTTAAGTTGATTGAATAGCAATGAAGGAGATTGATTTAATCATCAGAAACTCAAAATAATAAGTTATCTCAACTAAATAAATTATTTAGGTTGATTTGACAAAAGAAAAAATGTTGTTAACAAATCTTGAAAATATTTTTTTACAGTGTGGTTGTTATACACATAAAGCTGCTTGTTTAGCTGATGTGATACAAAAGATGAGCCAAACAATCATTTTGCAGTAATCAGCAGAAACAAAAACAAAACAATTGCTAAGTGGTTTAGTCTGTAGAATTAGCCACAATTAAAGCATGAAGCAGTCATGACTCTTCCTTTAAATTAGACATTTTTAAAATTGCTGCATTATTACCAAGTGAAAACTGCTATTAGCAATGATATTCTCCATCCCAATAAATTACAATATATACATGAAGGCCTACACTTTTGAGTGTATTGTGTAGACTAAATTTGATGTGTAATTTTCCTTAAATATCATTGCTTTTTATCAAGTAAATAATTGACAATGGACCAAAGTCCAAAGTTCATTATAAATTACTCATACCTGACATTGCAAATTAAATAATAAGGCTCCAAAAGTTATTAAATCTTCCCACAACTCATACGTTACCTGACATTGCAGATTAAATGGAATACAGGCTCCAAAAGTTATTATATCGTCCCAAAAAAATTACAAAGTTACAAAAAGTGCCTCTTGTGCAGCTGAATACCTGGATCAGGTTGTTCGTGACTGTGATTGACGGTTGAAGTCTTAAGTCCACATACTGGGATCACTCCACCCTGGGAAACCGGTTTAGTGACTCCAAACAGGCACAAACGACGTAAAACCTGAAACGATAACATATCTAAGCTTGGCGCAGTCACAGTGACTGGTGCTGAACCAAATGAAATGTTGGTCTGTCTGTGACTGTCTGTAAACCTGACTGTCACCTGCCCTAACCTGCCTGTGTGTTTGGGGGTCCGGGAAGACCACACAGATTACTGGCTGCCCCCTAGCGTCAGAATCGTGTCCAGGTAAAAGACACTTGGATGGATGATATTTTCACGAAGAATGAGACTATATTGGGGTGCTTCTGCTTCCGTTGTGCCTGGTCATTAAATATGATGTGATGTCTACAATATAGCGTATATTACATCACATCATAGGCCAATTTGTGAGATAAAACAACAAGAACAACAACAAGAATAGCAGGCGTATCGCATTATCTCTTTGGTTGCCATCAGTCATTAGCCAAATTATTTTCTAAATTGGTTAGATAAAATATCGATAATGTAAATAAACGTTATATTGTAAAATTCAATAGAGTGGTTATTCTTTTATATATAGGCTTTTTTTTTATTTTTTATTTTTATTTTTTTACAAATAATGTAGGCTACAACAACACGGAGATTTTTGTTAAACCATTATCTTTGTATAATATCTTTGTGGTGAAAAGAGAAACATTTAACACGATAGCCTACAGTGCAGCGCAAAAAAAGATAAAAAAAAAAACCCCAACTAAATCTCGTTAAACCATGTGTGTTGCCAGATGTTGCTGGGAAACACGTGTTCAAAAACTATAGTCTTTGAAACGGGCCTAGTTCACACTACATGATTTTAAAATGTCGGGCTGAACTGTGCAGTTTACACTACATGACTTGCTCTCAGTGAAATCATGAGTGTTCAAGTTGTTTAGCTGTTCACACCACACAACACAGCGTGATTGATCCACAACAGGAGGTAACTCACTACACGAGTTAACGCACTACATAGAGATACAACCACGATCGGATGATAAGAGCATATCATTTGTGACTCAATGAGAGCTGTTTCAGTACTATAGTACGGTCTAAATCCTGAAAATAATCAAACAAATAACGAGTTGACAACAACATGATTCTATCTGGTCTAGAAACCATGTTTTGTCACGGAAAACCACGCAATAAAACGAACCAGAAATGACGCGAAACTGCAGAGAAGAACACAACACGCGAATATGGACGTCAGACAGAAACTAGTGCTGCACACTGTTTGCTCGACGATATGCTCTGAGAGAAAAAAAATGCAAAAAAGAAAAAGTAAGATTTACCTGGTGTCCTCAACCCATGCGTTGCTATGATTGGCTGTACTCATGACATCACTGAGATTGAGTCGCGCGACTGCTCGAGATATCTAGCATGCTAGATATTTTTCTGAGCTCGGTGACCTGTCTGCGAGCTGTCTGCGAGCTGTCTTTGATGCGTTGTTGGCTCTTTCACACTATCGGATTGGCGAGCGTTAATCGTCCGCTAATCGCCCGCGATTTGCACGCGATAACACCCTGACTTGTCGGCGACTCAACGATTTGCAAATCGGGCTTAAATCGGGCTTAAAATCACGTAGTGTGAACTAGGCTTGAGGATCTGACAGTTGAAGGAACTGCAAGAAATACTCTGTTATAAATAACAGAATGTTCTGTTATAAATATTCTGAAATATCCTGCGTCAACGAAAAAATAAAATGTCTTTTAAAATATGCAGTGTAATCCTCACGGCACATCACTGTGCATAGCATTAACGCGTAAAATGTTGATAAATTGACTAGAATGCCAAACTAGTTGCTGCTGAGAAACACACTCTATTAGACCTGCTTTACAGAATAATTGACTTGACATTTGTAATCAAGTAGGCTATTCAAATTTTATTGGCAAACAGCTAGGTCATAATTACCAAGTCCAAATACAACTGTTATTTGTAAATAAGCTATAAAAATTGCGCCCTGCTACTGGCCATGTTTATAAGCGCCTTTATTAAATATTTAAAAATTCACAGGTTTCTTATAAAAAGTGGACATGGCAACAGCGTTCGTTATACAAAACTGGCAACACCGAGAACTACACATGCGCTTCAGTTCGCACACGATGTCCTCTGCCAGTGCGCATGCGCAGTATTATCACTATACCGGCGGAGGCTGAACAGTAGCAGCTTAAACGACGCAGGGAAAAAATAGATTTTTTTGACAGGTCAGTACGCCAATGTGGATTATTTGTGTGAGAATGTTTTTATTAAACCTATATGATGTTAAATTCAATATATAGAAATGTTAAAACACAAATATAAAGCAGCTGTCGGATAACCTTATAGGAGCAGGTTAGCAAGGGAGCTAACACAGAGGCTGCTGCGCAGATCTGGGAGGGAGAGGCGAGTCTGGCGTTAAGACGATATTACCAACAAACCTGCTCTTCAATCGATGATCACTACCCTGTGATGACCTAAAATTACGTTTTATTGCCTTGAATCGACCGTATTTGCTTTATAGGCGTCATGTACGGTTGGATTGGTGTGTTTTGGTCGAGAGATGGTTGGATCAGTCGCTACCCTTCACTGCGGGCTGAAGCGCCACTGCCCATGACAAGCTCGGTTCCAATCTGGCTGTTTAACTTATTTTTAGTATCTTAAGGCAAAACAACACGGGTGAATGGGGTACAAATGTTATGTAATGGATATATCACCAATATTCCCCTGTTGATTAATCATTGTAAATGAAGTCAATTGCTTTGTATTTCTAAATTGTCTGAAATATGCTAAACGCAGTTAAGGCAGTATCTAATTAAATGTGCATATAATTTTAGAACATTATATTTAATGCTACACAGATAATTTCCAGTTTGTGGCTAAACAACATTGTCACAAAACCCTGTTTGCTTGTGTAACCCGCCATTGAAATGTATGAAAAATATGTTACAGCTCTGACTGGCTGCATTAATATTCTGTATTTTTTTGTGCTGTCAGATTAGTTATTCCACAAACGGTGGATATGAATGCTTATCTGACATTGTGATTGGTGTACTTGTCCACAGCTGATGAAACAAGTGACATTAAATAAGCTTTTGAAGAGGCAAAGACTGCCATCTAGCTTAGATCAAGTAGCCACTATTTTAATGGGTCTTGGTGATTCCTTTTGTGCTCATCTTGCTTTGATTGTGTTTTTCCAGCAGGCAACATCATGAGTCAGGGGAAGGACAATGCACGTCTCAAAAGTTATAAAAACAAATCACTCAACACAGATGAGATGAGGAGGAGGAGGGAGGAAGAAGGCCTGCAACTTCGCAAACAAAAGAAAGATGAACAAGTAAGAGATTTGGAGATATGAGAGTGGCTTCTGTTATTCTATTTCATTCTTCTCTAGGTGTTTTGTATAAAGGTAAATATGAGACCAGAGTTTCCACTAGAAAACAAAAGATGTTTCGTTTTATGGACATTTTGATGATATCAGTCAAATATCGCTTCTTAATTAGTCAAGTTGAGGAAAACTGGAAGCAGGCTATGTAACTTAAATGACAATCAGGCCGTATAGAATGCAATATGTTATTATTAGCCTAACTTTCAAATTGATGGAAAAAACATGAACGTCCGATTGCCGTCAATCAACACCAATTGTTTTTTTTCTATGGTTTGCAAATTGCAAAAATGGTTTGGAAAAAAATGGTTTGCAGCCTTGCGAATTTCCAATACTACAATCAATGAACTATTTAGACCATGTGTCACTGAATGTTAAAATAATAATTAGATATCAAGAAAAGATTAACATACTCGCAACGTGTGATCCATACACAACACCTGCTGATGTTTTCATTGCTTTGAAGCTGAGTTTGTTTTAGGTGTATTTTTGCTTTATACATTTTAGGATTATTCTCAAATTCATATTTTGTTAGTGGGGTGGGATTATTATGCAATTTTAATCAGACGGTTTGACTGGAGAGATTTCATTTTGTCGGACATTACATTTTTTTTTCCCAGCCAATGCTAGTGATTATCGGACAACAGAACTGATACTATGTATCATACAACAGTATGATACTAAACATGAGAGCATGTATTGAGGGAGATTTGGGAGAGTTGACAGAATTGTCACTTGATGCCTGCGTTCATTAAATCTTACATATGTTTTTGTCTTTTAAAAATTAAACATTTGTTTTGTCATAATTGGGTATTGTTGTTGAAGATTGAGTTGATTTAAACAAAGGTGACACAATGTAGCTGCTTATCACAACATAGATGTGATCATGTGGATTTGTCAAAGTTGCAAGAAAAATGTTGTATCATCATTTAGAATGGGTTGAAAATTATTAACCAACCATTTTTTGCCATCATTTTCCAGCAAATGTGTTTATTAATTACGTTACATTCAAAATGACATTATAGACTTAATTTAAAGCTGCAAGTTAAAAACCTAGTAATTTTGTTTGTAAAGATAAATTTAAATGTAACGATAACTATTAAAAAAAAAAAAATCTCACTTCCCTTACTTGCAACATTAGGACTTATATGGACATTTTGGTAATTTTATCAAACACAGTGATCTTAGATTTTGTGTTCTTACAGCTGTTCAAGCGCAGAAATGTGGCCACAGTGGAGGAGGATGGAACACTGGAGGATGATGGGATGTCAGATAGTGGATACCTGGAATCACAGGCCAACAATATGGACCAAATCACAGTGAGAAAGTTAAAACATTAGTTAATCATAAATCTTTACTAACTGATTAAAAAAAAAGTCACTCTTGTCTTTTCTTCTTTATAGGGAAATGTTATTTCTGAGGACATGATACAGATGATCTTCTCTAGCTCCCCAGAACAACAGCTCATAGGAACACAGCGCTTCAGAAAACTCTTATCTAAAGGTGAAAGACCCAAAGACTAAAATACTAGCATTTACATAATCTATATTTATGATAAAAGGATGCTAATTCCATTTTTGTAATTCTCCATTAGAGCCTAATCCCCCTATTGATGAGGTCATTGCCACCCACGGTGTCGTGGAGCGATTTGTTGAGTTCCTGAAAAGAAGAGAGAACTGCACGCTACAGGTGACTTAAATAAGCGGTATCTCGGTCATAATAGTACTAGGGATTTGCGAGACTATTCAACTAAACACTACTGTTCCTGTAAGTCGACATTGGGAATGATAGTTTATTACATTGTTTACACGTTTGTTTTAGCCTCTCTGAAATTGCCTACCATACCTTTAAGTTAACGCTGTATCATAATGCAAGACAAGCACAGCATATGACCTATTTTTCTGCAGCATTCAGTACAGGATTTGACTGGTTGATTTATTAAGTAGCCCATTTCAAATGCATTGCTTACTTTGTTTTTTTTTGATAGTCTTCTGGGGGTTTCTTAGACTAGAGTCTAGACGAGTCTAGTCGTGGTGCACATCCCTAATTAAAATGAACTATGCAGTCTAGTGCCAGAAGAACCACTTGCCAGTCATAGGCCCCAAGTCACAGCAGTGAGACATCTGGCATGATAGTCCCCCAGCACACGCTTGCACTATTGGAATGTGTATATTTTGCAAGTCTAATAGGTATCTTTAATCGTTTTTGGCTTTTGAATAGTGCATTAGTGAATGCTTTTCTGCACTATGGTGACACATACTTTGTCTCTGTGCAGTTTGAAGCAGCGTGGGTTCTGACTAACATCGCATCAGGAACATCCCACCAGACACGTGTGGTCATTCAGGCTGGGGCGGTGCCCATTTTCATTGAGATGCTCGGCTCTGAATTCGAGGATGTACAAGAACAGGTAAGCATCTGTACACATTTACATTGAAGGGGGTCAAATAGGCTGCATTAACACTGCAGGTCTTGATGCCCCAATCCGATTTTCTGACTATTTTCTTTTTTTGACGACCCGCTTACATCATGTTTCATAAGTAAACCTGTATCCCATTTTTGCATTTATACTATGCACTGCTGAAACTACCAAATGTAGACGTTCTGACCCAGAAAAGGGAGTAAAACAGGACAAAATGCAATGGATGCAGATGCGAATAAAATTATCCAGTGTCTTTCTTTCCACAATATTTTGAAAAGTCATCAAAAAAGGTCTGGTACGGCGAAGAAAAAGAGGAGAGCCCTTGTTGGCACTGTAGCCACGAGCGCTTAAAAGCGTGCCTCGCCATATCTCGTGAAATGGCTTCAAATACGGATTTATTTCTGCAAAAACCTAGCATTTTTGCCTGCACTCTTTGCCCTAAACACTTAAGAGACATGAAACCTCCGTATTGCTCCGCTATGTGTATCCTTTGTCTTCCATCGTGCCTATAATAAATAAGTCATGTGATCTCAGTTAGTGGTGTCCACCTGAGTTGATGTCACTTTTTTAATGACGTACAAATCTCATATATATATGCGATTTGTCTGCTTACATGGCACACGCAAATGCACGTATCCGATTTATTACCACATATGAGTGAGGCCTGAATCCGATCTGAGAAAATCGGAATCCATGCGGGTTTTTTTTCCTGCTTACACGTTCACCGGTCATATCTGATCTGTGACACATGAGAGGAAAAAATCGGATTTGGGTCACTTGAACCATGCAGTGTAAATGGGGCCATAGACCAAGTTAGGTGTAATAAAATAGGACTTAATATTTAATTTGATGCGATTTTTCTTTGTTTTCACTCCAGGCGGTGTGGGCTTTAGGCAATATCGCAGGGGACAGCACTGAATGCAGAGATTATGTTCTGGACTGCAATATTCTACCCTCTCTTGTACAGTAAGTCATGCAAGCATTCATTTAAAACAACCATACTGTTAAATGGTTGTTCTAATGAGGCAGGATCTAATTGCAGGTTATTGGCTAAACAAAATCGTCTGACTATGATGAGGAATGCTGTCTGGGCTCTGTCTAACCTGTGCAGAGGGAAAAACCCACCCCCAGATTTTGCCAAGGTAAAATCTCCTTCAATTTCCTCACAATAAATAATATATTAATTGTGCCAAGCTCATCTTTACATTTTGATGATTTAACACTAATTTTGAAAACACTAAAAATGTACACTGTTAAAATATAGTCTGAATATCCATTTTTTTATTCTGTACATTATAATGTGGGATGTCAAGGTTCACTTGAAATATTTAAAATGATTACCTTTAGTCTTCATCATAGGTATCATGAGAGTGTGTCAACATGGTCATGTTTGCTTAAAGTAGAACATGTTATTAATAATTATGCTTAAATAAATATCTTAAGTTAACGTTGATTTTATAATTTGAGAAAAATGTTCATTTGTTTTCTTTTATGATATATTGACATGGATTAACATATTAAAATATACATCAATATTAACTCAACAATTGAGTAATTTATTTAAACATAATTAAGTCACATGAGTACACGCCTTTAAACTTAAGGTGAGATCTAAGTTGAATTTGTCTTTTAATGCAGGTGTCACCGTGTCTCAGCGTTCTGTCCTGGCTGCTCTTTGTGAACGATACTGACATTCTGGCTGATGCATGCTGGGCTCTTTCTTATCTGTCCGACGGTCCCAATGAAAAGATCCAGGCTGTTATTGACTCAGGAGTCTGTCGCAGACTAGTGGAGCTGCTGCTGTAAGACATGAAACACAGATAGGAAGAATAATGAATTGCTTAGGTCAGTGGTTCTCAACCTTTGTGTTTTAAAGGCTCTCCGATGTTGATTTGTGATTTTACTGGGTAAGGATTAGAGAGATTTTTTTTTTAAACTATTTCTACCGAATAATTATTTTAGAGCTGAGCATAACCAAAAATATAAATGCATTTTATTTATTTGTGAAAATTAAGCTACCTCACATATACTATCCAGGTTTTCCAAGACAATGGGCTCTTTACAGAAAAAATAAATTAAGAAATATCTTATTTCTTATTCATATTATTTTAATTAATTCATCTTGAGGTCCCCTGGAAGTTTACATTGGGCCCCAGTCCCTTCAGGTTGAGAACCACTGGCTTTTAAACGGGCTTCTCTTCTTTGCATTTTTAGTGGCGATACTTAAACAGTTTTCTGAGGTTGTTTTCATGTGTTGCAGACATGCAGAATATAAGGTGGTGTCCCCTGCTCTAAGAGCTGTGGGGAACATTGTCACAGGAGATGACCTACAGACTCAGGTGAGTCTTTCCTTTTTTTATAGATGAAAAAATAATATCTCAATATTTACTGGGATTTTGTTGATAATAATAAGACAGACAATATTGTGCTGTGATTTTTGTGCTGGTACCTTGGCCGGTTTAGGCCTGTTGGTTAAAAAAAAGATTTTCCAGGTTTTAACTTTTATATGGGCAATTATTTCTAACTTTATTAGGTGTATGCATCATGTAGAATTCTTACATTTAATCAATAAGTTCAATTAGAGTTTTAAAACTAGGAAATCAGTTTCAATAACACATAAGCTCCATCTAAACTTAAGCATTTGCATGTATTTGAACTGCAGTTACAATTTCATAAATAATGTACAATGTTGTGATTATTTTTTTTTAAATGTAATATTTTAAATATGAAAATAAAGTTAAGGTCATTAAGTAATTTATTCCTGATTCATCCAGGAACGAAGCAAGTGACCACCTTAATGAATGGATCATTGAGTCATTGATTCGCTCAAAAACGCTAATTCATTCATGTAGCTCTGAGACTCACAACAGCACGTTTGGTTGTGATATCCACTATATCAAATGCATATATAAAACAAAAACTCACACAGGGACTTTTTTTGTCTACATGAATTGAATTTTGGGGCGTGTTACCTGCGTTCAACTAGGCTACATCATGCGGTAATATAGTAGCTAATACATACTGCAATCCCTACCTCTCCTGTAATGTTGAACTACTACATATTTCAGATGTAACTTTTCATTTGATTTCTCATGCACAGGTGATTCTTAACTGTTCCGCCCTGCAAAGTCTGCTTCACCTGCTGAGTAGCCCGAAAGAGTCCATTAAAAAAGAGGCATGTTGGACCATCTCCAATATCACGGCTGGGAATCGTGCACAAATACAGGTACATGCTTTGGAGTATGTTCATAACAAACTTCAGTTTTAGTGTTGTTTTCTCTCTCACACTCTTGATCTTTGTAACTTGTAGATGGTGATGGATGCAGATTTGCTCCCCCCGTTGATAAGTATTCTGCAAGTAGCTGAGTTCCGCACAAGAAAGGAGGCGGCGTGGGCTATCACAAACGCCACATCTGGCGGTTCTGCTGAACAGATCGGGTGAGACAGATCACTTCTTAAGCCTGGTCTCGGATCACTACCTGCAGCAGCAACCAAGATGGCTATATAGATTATAATGCTTTGATCTTCTCCTTAGGCATCTTGTTGAACTTGGTTGCATCAAGCCCTTATGTGACCTTCTGACGCTGATGGATTCAAAGATCGTACAGGTGGCCCTAAATGGCTTGGAGAACATCCTACGGCTGGGTGAGCTGGAAGCTAAACGAGGAGGAGGAATCAACCCCTACTGCGCACTCATTGAAGAGGCATATGGTATGTTAGACATTACACTTTGGATGTTTTCCATCTTTATGTTGATTCATTTTATGAATCATTTTTAAACCTTAAGCTTTCACACCAAAGTATACTTCAGTTTTGATGTCAACACGCATACTATGCTAATGAAGAAATGTATGTCATGTGAACTGTATTGAGCTTTGAAGGATTAATTCACCCAAAAATTTAAATTCTGTAATTAATTACTCACCTTCATGTCGTTTCAAACCCGTAAGACCTTCGTTCATCTTCAGAACACAAATTAAGATATTTATGAAATCTGAGAGCTTTCTGACCCCCGATAGACTGCAACATTATAACCACTTTCAAGGCCCAGAAAGGTAGGATAGACATTAGTACACAAGACTACAGTGGTTCAACCTTTATTATGAAGCGACAAAAACCTTTTGTGTGCAAAAAACAAAACAAAAACATGACTTTATTCAACAAATTGTTCTCTTCCATGTCATTCTCCTTTGGTGTTCACGTAGTGTAAACACAGTGCAGCGCTTCAGGGCTGTACGTCAGAAGCTCGGCTCATTATTGTCCAGCTCTTCACCTGAGCCGGTGTTCTGATGTATCGTTCTATTGAATAGGGGGGAAGAAAGAGTTTTCCGTATTTTTTGTCCTTAACTGATCAAATACCTGTAAGTGGTCTCTCGGGTCTTCAGATGCTTCATTAAATCCCAAACTTTCAACAATAAATAATTTTTAATGTTAAGCAGTGTAAATCTTAATGTCATTAATGATGGAAACTTGATTTTAGGAGATACAGTTTCATGTTTGTTTTAAATGTTGATATTCATATTAATATGTAAAAGTTTTGAATATTAATATTGTTTTATTTTTTTCCATTTCCTTGTGAAATTACTTTAAAATTAAATATGACCAGATATATGATTTAAAAAGACAAACTATGATACAATTTTTCTATTGCTTTCCATCAGGGTTGGACAAACTGGAGTTCCTACAGGGTCATGAGAACCAGGAGATCTACCAAAAGGCTTTTGACCTGATCGAACGCTACTTCAGCACAGATGATGAAGATCCGGCTCTGGCGCCTGCTGTTGACCTCCAGCAGCAGCAGTTCCTTTTCCAGCAGTGTGAGGCTCCCATGGAGGGTTTCCAACTTTAACACTTCCACTCACTCCCTTATTCTCCAAGCAATCCACCCTCTAGGGTGAGAGACGCCCCACTGACCCAACAGAGCGAAGGATTTAACAAATGAACATTTCAATTAGAGTGTGATTATACAAGAGCGTGTGTTGCCGGTCAACCCATTTCCCTCCTCTTGTCCTTCTTCCCTGATGTCATTGGCCCGATCTGGAACGATGGCGACATGCAGAAAACATGACCAGTAGACATTTACGTATGACTAAAATAACCTACTTCCTTCATTAAACTTTCATTCAGCCCTTCAAAGCACGCGTATCCCATCAGTCCCGATTCAGGAAAACTGCATCCAGCGATGAGTTGATAGATGCTGGAAAAGCACAGCTTGTGTGACGTGACTGCAATATTGACTCTTCATCTATTGTAAAACACTGGACTGACCATGTGACTGTGTTTGCATGTCTCCAAACCCCCTCCCCTCCTCCCTCCAAAAAAAAAAAAAGAGTGACGGCCAGTGTACGGCGAAGGACGTCTGCTGAAGGCAAGGCACTTTTACCTTCCCATTTAACCCAGACAACTCAACGACGGACTAAGGGGTCCAGGCTTTCTGACTGAAAATGCCAGTCAGACAGTCTTTTTGACACACATTGAACATTCCGACAATGACTGAACTGTACAGGCTCCGCCTCTCCTTTTAGGGTTACACATTTGCACCTTTTGAAATTCTGGGAGTTGGAGTCTTCCTGCTCACTGAGACTGCTGGACAGACATAAAGACAGGTCCTGTATCCTGTGCATTACAACCATTTGATACTTCAATGACAATTTCACATGAGCATCATCTTCATCAGCACTTTACGTTCAGAACAGACCCTTTGTTTAGATTCGAACATCTGTAGTCAGTTTTAGTCCCTCGAAACGCTTCTCAGGATATCAAGGTGAAGAGGAATGGTCCCGTATCTGCATTACGGGATTCATTTACAGTAAACACTAAGTATTTAAGAGTGCTGAGAAAACTACCCCTTCAAAGCTTCCACCATATTTTAACAAGCTGTCGAAAAAAGGCTTTAGCTTTCCGATGTTTGTGAGACAAACTTTAATATTAACGTCTAATCATGGTGAATGCGCACACACATTCAGACACAACATGTGTGACTAGAACTATATAAGACAAAATACAGAGCAGAAAATTGTTCAGTACTGTTTGGTTTTCTGATTATCTTATTGTATTTTTGGGGGGTTAGAATCTCTTGATACCGAAGGTGCCATAATCCTCATTTTAAGAAATGGAGGATTACACGTTCAGGACTTTAAAGAAGACTAAAAACTTATCAACGCATTTAAACTTAAAATTCAATGGCTCGAGATATGATTGTTTACTTTGTTTTTCTTATTTCATCGTCAGATTCTTCCCAAGAGATGACCAGCTCTTTGTTCAATACTGCTGTTGTATTGAGATTGTGTAACTGTTCTCTGTTACGCCATTTGCATAAATGCTGTTTCATGAAGCTCAGTGGTCACGTGATTTAATTGTAATATGTTGGTACTTTAGGAGACTCATTCCATCATTGCTTCATTCTAAAAAGGCCCAGTCATTACATCAGGGATGTGATTTTTCCCGTGTTTATAAGAATTTCCGTGTTTTATGACCCACGTGAATTGCGTAAATCTGAGAAAGAAATGGTTGGGTTGGGGCCTGATTACCATATGATGATCGAAATCGCAAAATGGCCTTAAACAATTACTAAATAAACGGAAAAATGTGACGCTTTCCAATTAAGTTATTTAATGCACAAAAACAAGCCCTCAAGGAGCTCGAGGGCTAGCCAGGGTTCAAAACGCCAAATGCGTTACTCGCCAATTTCCTGGTAACTTTACAAATTTTAACTGTGCATGGTTGTTAGAATGTGATATGGCTTAGTCCAATCATCAAATAGCAATGGTTTTGATCTAATAATAAATATATAAAGTGCTGCTTGTTTCAGAGTAAAGCACAGCACTGTGTTTACTTTGTTACAATCAAGTGCTGTGTGTTTGCGTCACTTATTATTTGCATTTGAGAGCTGCACATGCCAACTATCTTCCCTAATTCATTATGAGAATCGTTTCTAAATCCGTCAACAGAGAGGTCTTCCATTGGTTTTCCGAACAAATGAAAAAGCGAAATGGTTTAACTTTTTAAATGAAGACAACCATAAATGTTATTGTATTTTTACGGTTGTTCTGTAAAATTGAATACAAATGGGTTGGGTTTAGGGCTTTAGCTGATGTTTATTGTTTTCTCAACTACTATCAACTTATTTTTTTATATTGTGAGCAAACAGATTAACAAGCTGCTATTTTTACTTCTGAATGGTTATTTTTATTAAGTGCAGATAATAACCATGACCATTCATGTAGGGATGCACCAATATTAAAATGGTGATTCTGATCATGTTAACATTTGTTTAGCAGATGATTTTATCCAACGCTATTTCCATTGCATTCATGGTAAAACTTCATCAGAGCTTGGTTTCCTTAGGATTCAAACCCATGACCTTGCTGTTGCTAGTGCCATGCTCTACTGTTTGAGCTACAGATTTAAGAATTAAAGAAGTTAATTAAATGCTACAATTTAATTTACGCATAGCAACATTATAATGTACAGTAGAAAAAAAATATTAATTTTGCTTTTGCAAAGATGTAATATTGTTATTAAATTATAATATTGTTACATTAATCTGAATAGAAAAATGGGAAATATCAATATGGACAGATTTCTAATATCTTATATATCTTTACCTTCATGCCATGTAATTCTGGCATTATTACTATTAAACATTAGCAACAAAAACAAAAGACATTCACAATGAGATTAAAGATAGGTGTACCGCAAATAAACATCAGTGGATCAGTATTTTATTTTTTGCTTAATATATACAAAAAAAATCACACAGGGGATTTCTCATCTTTATTTTATACACTACTCTAGAAGTCGTGGAGGAACATCTGTACCACCTCTACTGGAGTTCCCATGGGGTGTGGCATGTGATATTTGGAAAAACTGGATGGTGAATGATGATGGGCTTGGGAGCTCGAATGAAGGCATTTCACTGGGCTTTCTCTGCAAGTGCAGTGGCCTCCTTCTCCTTCTGTGCTTCCTCTCTCCATCGAGCCTTCTTCTCCATGTTACGAGAGGTGAGATTGTCATGCCGACTTACCGCCTGTCATAAAAGACATTTATTCAAGGATTTGATATTACACAATCTAAGACGGCATTTCATTTATACAGTTTTATTACCTGTTTGCCAGAGATAACCACAGCGAGGCATGCCAGTAGGGTCAGTGCCATCATGACATAGCAGGCCTTCACACGCAGTCTGTTCCTGGCAGCATCAATCATCTCAAAACTGAAAGTATAAGCATTAGCATAAAATAGTACACCCACAAAGATATGTTTAAACATGTGAAGTCCTACTGTATAATGCTGTGATTTTACAAAGAAAAACATTGTAAGATAAGAGCAGAGCATATTTACAGTTTTTCTCATTTGATTCAAATGCTAATACCCCGAAAAAACTTTTATTTTTGAATAAATCATTAAAAAGGGTTAGTTCACCCAAAAATGAAAATTCTGTCAGTATTTACTCACCCTCATGTTGTTCCAAACCTCTATGTGTTCTGCTATACACAAAGGAAGATATTTGGAAGAATGTTTTAATCAAACAGATCTCATTCCCTATTGACTACCATAGTAGGAAAAAATACATACTATGGTAGTCAATGGGGAATGAGATCTGTTTGATTAAAACATTCTTCCAAATATCTTCCTTTGTGTTCAGCAGAACAAGTAAACACATAGAGGTTTGAAACAACTTGAGGGTGAGTAAATACTGACAGAATTTTCCTTTTTGGGTGAACTAACCCTTTAATTTTGCGGACATCTGCACTGTATGTTTTTGATTTACTAAAAATAAGTTCTTTTTGAATTGGGCTTCACTGATTTTGTTGTATGTTTTATGTTTTTCCTACTATGGAAGTCAACGGGGTACATCAACTTTCTGGTTAAGGACGTTCTTAAAAATATATTCCTTTGTGTTTAGCAGAAGAAAGAAATTCATACAGGTTTGAAACAACATGGGGGTGAGTAAATGATGACAGAATTTTCATTTTAAAGTGAACTATTCCTTTAACATTAAAGGGTTAGTTCACCCAAAAATGAAAATTAAGTCATTAATTACTCACCCCCATGCTGTACCAACCCCGTAAGACCTTCGTTCGTCTTCGGAACACAAATGAAGATATTTCTGATTAAATTTGAGAGCTGTATAACTACCACATTGGCTCCTAAGGGACTGCCTCTTGACGGCCCAGAAAGTCAATGAAGAAAATGTTTAAATATCCCAAGTGACTACCGTGGCTCAACTATATGTTTATCAAGCGACGCGAATACTTTTTGTGCGAAAAAACAAACAAAAATAACGAGTTTATTCGACTATTTCTTTTCTTCCTTGTAGGCCAGAAACGAGATTTCCTTAGATTTCCACGACGCATGCGCGAGAATTGCGATCTGCTTTACACTACTTCAGATCGCAATTCTCGCGCATGCGTCGTGGAAATCTAAGGAAATCTTAGATTTAAGATTAGTTATACAGCTCTCAAATTTAATCAGAAATATCTTCATTTGTGTTCCGAAGACGAACGAAGGTCTTACGGGGTTGGTACAGCATGGGGGTGAGTAATTAATGACTTAATTTTCATTTTTGGGTGAACTAACCCTTTAACCACACAGAGAAACAATATTGTTGGAATCACTATCAAAACGTTTTTTTTTTCCCAATCATTTAAAGCGGCAGATGAGATCACTGCAGTGCGAACTTATAATAAACAGAGTGCTATCGTCCATTGGTGTGTGGACGTTACGGTATTAGTTACAGGGGTTGGACAAAAAAACTGAAACACCTGGTTTTACTACACAATAATTTGTTAGAATGGTGAGGGCCTCATTTTGCATCCAAATACAGCACCAATTGACAGATAGAAGTCCTTCACAGTGACCAGAGGGATTATGAGCCGTTCCTCTTCCAGAACAGTGTCCAGGTCACTATATGATGCTGGTGGACTCGCTCCTCCAAAACACCTCAATAATATTCAGATCTGGTGACTGTCAGACCATGGGAGATGTTAAACGTCACTTTCATCTTCATCAAACCCTTCTGTCACAAGTCTTGCTGTGTGTGTTGGTGCATGATCATGCTGATACACGGTTTGAGCATCAGGTGCTCATGATCCTCCAGAAGGGTTTGGTAGTCCTCGGCAGTGTCGTGTCCATCAAATACAATCAGGATTGTCATGATATTGGAGCTCAAACCATCACTGATCCACCCGTGCTTCACTCTGAAGATTGGCCGCCAGGCATATAGATGTGAAACCTCCAACATTGGCCAGTGTTTCAGTTTCATTGTCCAACCCCTGTATCTCTTTATAGTTATCGTTCTTGATGTGAACAAGCCTTTACTTTATGTGAACATTCTCTCACAAAGTTACTGAAAATAGTCATACACTAAAAAAAGTTTGATCTTGGGCTTTTAAAAATTCGGGATAAAAAGAAATATGTATGGAAGGTCACAGAGGACGTGCCTGTTCTGTTTTGCATCTAACCATCACAAACAGAGTCCACTCTGATCTCCTTCCAGATACCATGAATTACACTAATTACCTGTCATTACACTGGGAGTAAATCTCATTTAAACCTCACAGTAGACAGCTCTTGTGTTCCACCAATAAGCTGGCACATGACCTCCTTAACCTACTACAAGTTTAGTTAGGTAGGATGCCTGAAACTGGGGGTTTCTTTAAATGTAAAGAAGAATAGCCCACTTACGACACAAACTCGGGAATCTGCTCTGCGGTTTTGAATCGCCCGGACCACAAAAGCATCTTCTTATCCCATTCTTTTGGGCGGTAGCCTGGCACTTTAAACCCAAGCTGTTGAGCTAAAGGCAACACCGAGAGATGAGAAAGGTGTTAGTGAGGAGAAGTTGGTCTGTTGGGAAAAAGATAAAATTCCCTCTAGTATAATTTGATCCTTGTAAAACAACCAGAACAGGAACTTCTACACTGTAATTACGCTGTTGCGTGCTGTGGGTGAATTTTGGGTGTTGTATCATGCCATATGCCACTCCTTCTAATGCAGGCAGGTAGAAATGATGAAAGGATATTTTGGAGTACTGACCCGGTTCTGTGGTCTGAAGGGGTGCAGGTGCCCCTTCTTGAGGCTTGCTGCACAGTCTTCTGCTCCCTGTGTTCATCACGCCTCTCCGCCACTGCCCTATGGAGGAAAGGAACAATTCCTCAGTCAGTGGAACACATAAAGACAATTTTAGCTGAACTGTCCCTTTAAGGCTGCCATGGCGATACATTTTTGCTGTATGACAGATGTTTATCCAAAACAAATGAGTTACTTCCTGTTACATTTGCACTGATTATAAGTCATTATACATTTTTTTTTCATTTGAGCAGCTGTTTGAATCATTTAATTTATTATTGGATACTTTGAACATTTGATTTTTTCCATTTCATTTTTTTTAAATAAACGTACATAAAAAACACTCAAAAATTATAGTATAGTTTCTTTCTATATTCACACTATATATTCAGACTCACCATTGCAACTACAGTTTCTGCCGAAATATTACAATTACAGTAAAACTTATTTATTGGGATCTTCACAATCTTTTTGTGTCATTGTATACAACTGTAACTGTATTATTTTGTCAGAAACTATAATTGCTATGAATGGTGAGTATGAATATAGTTTGAATAAAGTGAATAAGAAACTATACTCTGATTGTTGAGTTTAGTTCGAATGAATATATATAGCAGCTATATATATTTACTAAAGTAAAGAGATCGGATAGTTGTAAAATCGTAAATTCACAAGGTGTGGCTCTTTTCACGTATCAGATAATACATACATTAAAAGTGATCAAAATGCAATAACCTTAAAAAACGTCATGAATCCAATCACGCAGTATCGAAGAGTTAAACTACGTCAGAATCGTTTGTAAACGTTTATAATCATGCGTTCAATGCTGTGTTGTGCTAATAAGTGCGTCAAGTATCTGTAGTGCGCCACTGTCACTGTATCACATGCTGCGTGCGTGCCTGCGTCCGGTCCAAAACAAACTTAAAGAATATACTGACCTATTAAACTTCCAAAGGCAGCGCGAGGCCCGCGGATCACATTGAAGATCATGATTTCTGAAGAAAAATATAATGATAGAAAAACGACCAGATTTAACCCATGAAATCCTGTCTAAATGACAACGCCAGTTTTAGTTTCTCTAACGTTACCTGAATGAATGTCAGTTCCTGTTCGTACTTGCAAGAGCGCAGCGCTATCAAACCAGGGTTAAAAAACACTGAAGGACCCTAAGAAGTCTAAAGAGCTCATAGGAGCGCCTGTTACGTATGTGTTCGTAGCACGCTTGTAAAAAGGATGTAATAACGTCAATTAAATAAGATAACATGCACAATATTTGAAGTTCTTCATAATATTTCGAATAAAGCACCTGTGGATTTTACACGCTCACGTTTAATCCTGATTATAGTGAGAAATAATTACATAACATAATTTCTGTTAAAATGTCTCACTCTAGTATGAAAAATACTCAGTAATTATCTGTGACATGACATTATTTAGTTCGTGTCAATGACGACATCTTTTGTAGTAAGTATAATGTAGGCAGCATTTGGACACCCTCGTCGCGCAGGACCTCTTCAGAGTCCAGTATGGCGGCGCCCGGTGGAGTTATGAACTGTGAGGACTTTTCAATGTTTCAGGTAAAACGAGCGAACTTATCAATGGTTAGGATAAAAATATGCAGGATTATTAAGCGCATATTTCCTGTTATGATGTTTACAGGAAAGATGTATAAATGTCTGACCCTCTGGTCTGATGCACGCAGTCGTGTGGTTCAATGAGCAGCAAAGCAAACATGACACTGTTTTTCTTTATAAATATAAACGTATGCATTAAATGACCTATAATTTATACACAAAACAATATACAGAAATTCAAAGGTTTTTTTTATATTTTTATTTATGTGTAAAATTTGGGTAGTTGACAACATGGACTCGTGAACTTTTTTCAACATCAGGATTTTATTTGAAGGTGAAGTGAAATTTTAGGTGTTGTAACACTTTTCTATTTTTGAATATTTTTTTAATAACCTCTTATTTATTTCATTTCAATTGTACGATTAATATCAATTCTGTTAATTATGTCTGAGGCATGTGTCCCTCATTTAGTTTGAGCTTATAAAGATGAATATAAAATAATTATACAATAACTTAACGTAATTTAAAAATGGGTTTAGATGAACTACATATATAACAGACAATAGTGTATGTGTCCCTCATTTAATATGAGCTTATAAAGTTGCATATATAATAATTATACAATAACTTAACGTAATTTGACACCTGAAAGGGTGTCAACTACCCATGGCCATGTGTAGTTATATTGTATATATTAAATGTAATATGTGCTGAATACGGAGGGGTTTTACTTTAAGAAAAAAAAAATAGGAAATGTTAATTTTCCTTAAATTGAGAATATTATTATTAATATTAAAGGTTTTAAGGTTTTTAATTAAGGCATCCGAACAACAATCATTGCATTGCTTACAGTAAATGACTGAAATGTTCTGCTGTTTTTCTATCTATCCGTATGTCCTCTAGGAAGTATTAAAAGGGATGCGCACCATAGATGACAGAATTGTCCATGCCCTTAATACCACTGTGCCCACTGTGTCCTTTTCAGGCAAAGTGGATGCCACACAGACCTGCAAAGAACTTTATGAATCTGTATGTATCCTCTTACAAAGTGCTTTTAAAATGATTATTAGAGATACCCTAATCCTATGGTTGATGTATGACGTATTTTAGTGAACAATCACTAAGTGATGTTTAATTACAATCTTTTCCCTTGTACTTTCTGTCTTTCAGCTCATGGAAGCACATCTGTCCAGAGATAAGGCAATAAAATCATGTATTACAGAGACCTCTGCTGTCGTCGGCCAGTTACGTGAAAAGAGGGCAAAAGATAGTGACAACTTGTCAATTATCAAGCAACTCAGGAAAGAACAAACTAAGGTAATACCACTGTCTGCCACCAGGGGACCCATGAACTGTGTTATGTAGACTAGAGGTTGCCCAACTTACATATATAACAGACAATAGGCGCAACCACGTGAATTTGAGTGCTTCTCAAATCCATGGTGTAATGTAGCTTTATTTGTTGATTCATTACCAAAGCAATGTAAGACTAGAGGTTGCCAACTTACATATATAACAGACAATAGGCGCAACCACGTGAATCTGAGTGCTTCTTAAATCCATGGTTGCTTAAAGTTTTGTGTACATTATTATATTCCACTATGTGTTAAAGTTCCTTTTTATATAATTTGAAAGAAGGGTTGTTATTATTATTAAGTAAAACTATTAAAAACATTTTTGTTAAATAAAATATAAAGCAAACTAAATGAAAATTAGAAAATGTTTATTCTGCAATAAACTGAAATATGTTTAAATTGAAGCACTAAAATTAAGTGGAAATTTATCAAACTAAAATAAGCTGGAAAAAAATTAATAGCAATAGAATAAAAAAAACAAATAAAATAAAAAACGCACATAAAACATTTTCTAAAAATGAAAATTGAGTATAACTAAAACTATAAAAATAAATGCTAGTTCAATATTGAATATAATAATATTCAATCATATGAATGATTCTAAAATAGCACTTTGTGGAAGTCTGTTCACAAATGGCTGAAATTGAAATCTTCTAAAATCTTCTCAATTTGCCTACAGTTAAAAATCATGCAGTCTGAGCTGAATGTTGAAGAGGTGGTCAATGACCGGAGTCTGAAGGTGAGGTTTTTGAGTGTCTTCTATTGATTCTATTGAACATGAGCTGTTATCATTCAGAAAAATGTCCCTGATGGCATTTCCCCCTCTAGGTTTTCAACGAAAGGTGCCGAATTCACTACACCCCTCCCAAGATCAAGTGAATGATAGTTCTGTTGTCAACATGAACCACACAGTGTTCTGAGGACAATACCTGAAGCTGAGCCGGGACATTGACCCCAAACATCTCACAAACCCTCCTCCGCCAGTGTGATCTGTCTGTGGCTTGTGTTTCTACAGTGAAGGAACACTACCGTTGCCCTAGTCCTGTAAACTTTTTTGTATAAATACTGTACAAAAGATTTTATTAAAAATGAAATGTTTTCCAATTACTGAAATGTTGTTTGCTTTGCAACACAGCGATGAATGTTCAGAAGAAGAGGAGGATACGTTTCTCGATCTGTTCTCAGACCTTGACATCCCCATTTCTGGCAAAGGTTAGGGCAGAGGTTTTCAGTTTCTTAAATGACCCCCCTTCCTACAAATTTAAAAGACCAGTATATTCTTGTATAAAGGCCCTAATTATACTGTGACAATTTTAATTTGTTTATGTAACTTCAACATAATGGAATTGTGTAAATTTAAATTACCCAATTTAAGTAGTCTCAATGTGAATTTTTAAAGGCTTCCTTACATGATTCAAAGGCATTTTATTATATTCATTCATCCATTTATATTTCATTTGATTCGGTGACATTTAATTAAATTGATAGACTTTAGCTAGCTATTTGTTAGCAGAAGCACATATTAGCATCTTGAATGCTAAGATTTACATGCTCCTTCATTCAAAGCAATTGAAAATAATGAAATCGGTCGACAGACAAACAAAATGCTCCACTCTTCTCCACAATGGTAACCCACTGTAATTTAAATGGTTTAATAATTCCAATGTAATTTAACATTAAACACTATTACACAATATCAAGTCTTCCCCTTTTCTAAAATATAATTATTATAAGTAAACTATATATAAATATATTATGTAAAGTGCACAACCTCCCTAGTTCATTTTTTTGAGTGTGTTGAGGTTTACCGTTTTCAAATCCATTCAGCTGATTTCCTGATGTTTAGAAGATTATCAGTAACCAGACATTTGCTGGTCTCATTGACTTCCATATACTATGGTAGTCAATGAGACCAGAAACTGTCTGGTGACTGATATTCTTCTAAATATCAGAAAATCGGCTGAATGGATTTGAAAACGGTAAACCTCAACAGTTTAACTCTGAGGGAGTTGTAAAATGAGCCTATTTCCAAAAAACGTGGAGTATCCTTTTAAAACACGGGTTAACATGCTTCATCTTTAGATGTTAATATAACATTTACTGTGTAACTGTGGCATCCATGAGTATTTTGGGCAATATTCGTAAAGATGTTGATCTTTCTGAAGGTCCAGAAGTGTTCCATGGCGTCATGATGAGCCTTGGATGTCTGAATGCTGTGCAGCTCTAGTTTTTCTCCATCATGGGGCAGGGTTTTATAGACACGCAGATGAATATAGTCGTCCTCACCTACATGCACCTAAAAACAGATCAGAACAGAACAGTATATTCAGAAACCATTATGGCTCAGGGCTGTAAGTGTTATCTGAGGCTTGATTTTACATATAAAATCAGTACATTTACAGGGTGGTTTCCCTATAAGATCATTCATAAAATCACACATGGTTTTCTCTTACCTTAATGAAGTAATTTTTCCCCTTAACAAGTTGCGTTTTAAAACATTTGGCGGTGAAAGTGTCAAACTTGTGACCAACTTTGTCCTCGGCGTGAGACTTTACCTGAGGAGAAATCAAGAGTCCTGTTTTCTCAGGACATGTCCTGTTTTCACGTCCTGTCCTGGCCGTCCATGGCTGTTTTTTATAAAGTGATAAAAAAAATGTCCTCTGGTTTTCAAAAAACTACTGGGAAAGATCAGCTCTAGCAAAATATAGATTGGCAAACAAGGAGGATGAGGAAGAAAAACAGAATAAAGAGGAAGAAAACTAAAGATATAAATGTATTTTATTAATTCATTTTTGTAAGTTTGTGAGAGCTATTTTTGTTCAATTTGGAGGTATTTCTTTTAGTCATTTAATATAGGTATTTTTCTAATATAGAAGAGACATTATTTATATCATCATTACATTCATTACAGAAAACCTTTCATAAAAAAACATGCTGAGAATCCTTTCTGAATTTGTGTCTTGAACAATTTTCTATCCATATAGCTAGAGAGGAGGCATAGCCTCATACTTTAAAATGTATTGAAATTAATAAGGCAGCTTTGAGTAAACTTAAAGTATCATTTGAGTATCTGTTTGCTGGGCCGGGTGTCCTGGTTTTTGGGAATCAAAACAGTCACCCTAAGACACATCACTATTTCTGTTTCTCTGCAATGTATAGTTACTAACCTCATCGCATATTTTCTGCACCTCTTCATCGGCATCTTCAGCCTCAGATGTTCCACCACATTTTAAAGACATTTTAAATACAGAGGATTAATAAAAAATACTTGAGGACATCTGAGGCTGACTCCAGCTCCCTTTTTCGCCAGCTCCTTATTCGTCGAACTATTCCACACGAGGCTGACACCAGCTCCTTTTTCACCAGATGGTTGTTAACATAGACATCATTAAAGATTAAAGCAAGGGTTTTCAGTTTTTTAGATGACCCCCCATCCTAAATTTTTTTAAAAGAACAGTTCTTAAAGGCATTATGCTGTGAAAATGTAATATTATAAATTTGTCAAAAATATTAATTGTAAAAGATTTAGCTTCTATTCTTAAGTTACATTACCACGTTTTGTCTGTGTTTATTTAAATTAAAATAATTGTATATTTTTTTAAATTAGTTATTAAAATCAGATTAATTTTGAATCACTTATTTAAATCAATATATTTCGTTTCAATTAAGTTACATTACATGTAATACATTTGTCTATTTAGACTAATTTAATTAGTTATTTAAATTAGATTTTTAGATCATTCTTAAATCTAATAACACTCAATTCATTTGCATTACATTTAACCGATTTTTTTAGTTATAATAATTTTATTTAAATCAGATTTTAATTTTTAGCATTATTTAAAATCTACAATAAAAAATTACTTTTAATTTTAATATATATATATATATGTATATATATAGACTGACATGTTTATTTTAATCAATTTTTTTTAAATAATTTAGATTTAAATCCAAAATCTTCTAAAAAGAAATTAAATCTAAATATATGTTTTATTTTTCCATGGATTCCTTAGCACTCCTAACTTGAATAACACATCCATATATGAAAAAGTCTATTATGCGAAGACCAAAAAAAAAACCACTCACAACTTTCCATCTATGCATTTTATGTAAATAAAATACATTGTAAGCAGTCGAGTATAAAACTACTATTTACTGCATCAGTATCACTAAGTACAAAACCCAAAATGTGAAGACCAAACTATTAGCATGGATAACTAGATGTGAGTTCTAGTAAGAAGTTCTAGTAAGTGTAAGGGAGGGAAAATGTTATTTTACAACTATCCCAAAAACATAATGGAGACGTGCATTTAGGATTTCTTAATGAGTTACACAGCAGGTCGTGTTTACCCACTATTCAATAAATGCATGTCAATTATTGATAAGATCATCACATGTAATACACAGGTTAACATGCTTCATCTTTAGATGTTAATATAACATTTACTCTGTAACTGTGGGATTCATGAGTATTTTGGGCAAAATTCATAATGATGTTGATCTTTCTGGAGGTCCACTTCAGAAGTATTCAATGGCGTCATGATGAGCCTTGGATGTCTGAATGCTGTGCAGCTCCAGTTTTTCTCCAGCATGGGGCAGGGTTTTATAGACACGCAGATGAATATAGTCGTCCTCACCTACATGCACCTAAAAACAGATCAGAACAGAACATTAAAAAACCATTATAATTCAGGGCTGTAAAGTGTTATATGAGGCTTGCTTTTACATATAAAATCAGTACATTAATAGGGTTTCCCCATAGGATCATTGATAAAAATTACCCAGGGTTTTCTCTTACCTTAATGAAGTAATTTTTACCCGCAACAACTTGCGTTTTAAAAGATTTTGCGGTGAAAGCGTCAAACTTGCGGCCAGCTTTGTCCTCGGCGTGAGACTTTACCTGAGGAGAAACGGGAGTTGCCAGTGAATGTTGCTATGACACATCACTGAAATATTTCTGTTTCTCTGCTATAAAAAGTTACTAACCTCATCGCATATTTTCTGCACCTCTTCATTGGCATCTTTCGCCTCAGATGTTCCGCCACAAAGTAAAGGCATTTTAAATACAGAAGATTAATTAAAAAAATACTCGAGGACGTTTGCTTACAACAAGATTTATTGACTGGAATGTTTACTTCCTGGATAATATCACGAGACATTGGAAGAAACCATTACATTGGAAGAAACCATTTTTGTGGAATAGACCAAAGGGTTGTCGTGTATCAACAGAGAAAGACCTGATAGATACTCTGCTGTTGTGCTTAAATATATATGTAAACATTATAATTATTTAACTTCAAATCTAAAATATTGATCTTCTTTATGTTAATGTATCTCTGTTCATGGTTCAGCATCCCCGTAAAGTGGTTTAAACCTCGTATTGGTATCACCCCACATGTTACTGGTTAAGCCGTGGATATTTACTGACATTTTTACTAAATGAAATATTATTTTAAATTTAAATAACGATTTTAACATAGTTAAAATAACGATAAGGCAAGTTTTTAGCAAGAAAGTTCGTACATAAACTCTACAAACTCAGGTGAGTCCAGGTGACTACGGAAGCTTTCTGCCACTGCTGAACACAACTGAATTCAAGTAACTTGAGACCACACAATTGCCATTCATTATAATGACTGGGGAAAACATGTCCTAGTTGGGCGAAGAACAAGTTCAAAAACTGAAACTTGATATACTACGAGGTTGCCTTTTAAGATCTACAGTTTTGAAAATTTTCAAGCTCAAACCTAACCTCGAAAAATGTTTCTTAACAGGTTGAGCGTAAGGGTGAACATGTCTTATAAAAATTTATAGAGATGGCAACATCAGTCCTTCAACTCATATTTTAACATTTCATTTCATAATAGATGATATCCTTCTGCCCATTTTTGTCTATCCATCATTTATTCAACATCATGTGTCCACACGTGTCCATTCATCCCCTCCCAGTTCCCTTTTTTACCGTTTAAGACATAACACACATAGTTAATGACTAAGCTATACAAGATGTTAGATGACTGTTGAGATGTTATCTAAACAACAAGTGCTATATGTAACCTTTGACAAAAGTTTAGTTTTTACTTCAAAAACTAAAGAAAGAACCTTAAAGAAATTCAAAACCCTTCTCCATCTATTACAAATATTTAGTTTCTTCAGAGTATGCAAAGTAAATGTCTCTTTGTTGTGTAAGGCTTTTTCATAACCATCAGATATTTATGCAATGACAAAAATGGTTACCTTGACAGACGTTGTGCGCATGCATTTTTTGTGTCATACTCTGCACGTGTACTCATACAGTTACACAACCTGTACACTTATAAAACCAGTCCCACGGGAGTAGTACTGCATTTGTGTTTGTCAGTCCTCAGGGTGTTACGTTAACTTCCTTCTCTCGTTTACTCTTGGTTTCAGTCTCTGGGAGTGTTTTCAGCTGTTGGTCAGATACGATTCTAGTGCATTTATGTTTATAGTTAATTGGCTATAATAATATTAGCAGTGCTTCTGGGTCGTGTGCGCTTCTGTTAAATATTTGAAGATAGCATTACATTCTCTTTCTTTCAGCTGCTCACAATGGGAGATCACAGCACTGTCCGTTTAGCACTCATTGTCCTTTCTGTTGTCATGTACATCATTTGCATCATATTCAATGCGCTTGCTGGACCAGGAACAGGTACGTACAGCAGATAAACTGAATACTGTTTCTAAATAAATGATAGGTGCAAAAGTACATTTTGGTTGAATATATTGTTACAATGTTGTTTTACTCATCCGCAGGTCCTTTTCGGAACAACACTGGTGCTATATCAAATAAGTACGATACCGAAATCACTCCCTCAGGATGGACCTTCTCAATCTGGGGTGTCATCTACACTTGGCTGTCTCTCATGCATGTTTACATCCTCTCCACTACCTGCAGGAGGTATGAACTCTGAGCTAGAATCAAAATGATATCCAAAAATAAAGTGGTATTTAATAATATGATGATGATCATGAGATTTAAGTGGTATGTAATAATATGCTTTATTTATATTGTCATCACAGGACTGTTTATGGTCCAATGTACTGCAGTCCTGCTGTGTTGCCGTATGGATTCTTCATCACCTGGATTGCAAACATGCTGCTGAATATAGGCTGGCTCCTTCTGTGGGACAGAGAGTAAGAAGGAAAATTCTTATATGTTGAAATATACTGTATAGTGATGTCCATAGGGGATATATATATATATATATATATATTATGACACCTACAAGTTCGATTAAAAAATCAACATATGATGATTTTTTTTAAACATAAAGGTAAAACAAAACACTAAACTAAGGTATTTTAAGGCAAAAAAGGCAAACAGCCGCTAAATGTTTTATTTTACTATGCAAAAAAATCATAGAAAAAACAAAAGCTCACAGGGAAAAGCATACATGAACTACTACATAAGCAAAAAATAATGTCTACACAATTTGGCTTGTATCATTACGTTATCACAAATAAAACTGACTCAATTGACTCAAATCTCAACTACACAATACAAGTACAAAATCTTTAACACATTTTTTATAATATATATACATATATATATATATATAGTGCTGTCAAATCCATTAATCGCATCTAACAAAAGTTTTTGTTTACATAATATAAATGTGTGTGTGTATATATTATTATATTATATATATATATGTCTGAGTGTGTGTTCCGTGTCTGTGTATTTATACATATAAATATAATATACACACTTATATATTATGTAAAGAAAAACTTTCCTGTAAGACGATTTGTATTCATGTTTATATATGTATTCAATTTATATGTGTTAGTCGTGATTGTACTTATTTTTACATTTTGTAAATACAATTTCTTTGCAAGTATATTGAAAGAACAAATTGTGTATACATTTTGTATATATATATATATATATATATATATATATATATACAATTTATACAAACATTTTCTACAGTAAGAACATCTTTTGTAAAACTCAATTTTTTTGCATTTATTTAAAGGGAGATGATTGCTGGATTTTTTTTCCTTGCCCTGATTGCCTTCACAAACTACTTACTGATCATCTTCACCTGTTATGCCCTCAAACAATATGGATCCTGGTTAAACAAATATCACAAAGTAGACCTCTGGTGCATTCGGATATTGGTGAGATATCATTGAAATATTACTCAACAACTCAGCTTCTCAAACGTACATTTTAAAAACATTATGCAGTTTTTAATGTTGCATCTTCAACCTTGCAGGTTCAGAATGGCATTGCAACATACACAACATGGACAACTATTGCCACATTGATCAACTTCACTGTTGTGCTGAGATATGACGCTGGAATGACCCAATCAGATGCAGCAACAGTCTCTTACTCAATTCTTTTGGGTGAAGCTATTGCTTGGTAAGACCATAAAACTCTGATAACTTATTTTAAATAAATGAAAGATGTTAATCTTGAGATTAATGCGAAATTATTTTTACAGGTTTATTGTTGAGACATTTGTGTTTGAAAAGCACCTGCGATACATTCTGACAGTCTACCCTGTTGTCATTGTGGCTTTGAGTGGAAACATGACAAAGAACTTTAACTCTGCGGATCCAAGTCGCAATGGCATTTACATAGGTGAGCCAGAACAAGCCCTGCATTGACATCATAATAGTTTCGCTGTTATGTTCTTAATCTGTAGTGTATTTCATGACAACCATATTGTGTGTTGTATTCCACAGCTGTTCTACTGGGGTTGGCCTGTACACTATTTGCCATCAAAGTGTCGCTGGTTATATGGAGGCATATTAAATATCCTCTCTACAGAGGCATGGATACAGACGAGGCCATATCACCGATGGAAATCGCTGAAAAGCAAAAAAAGATCTTCAGTTAATCTGAACTGTTCATAAAATTGTATAATTGTGTAATCATCCTACAATATGCTTTTTTTTATAAATTATATTTATTTTTTTAATTGTTCAAATGTGTACATAGTTCACATGTACTTTTGATACATAATAATAAAAAAAAAAATACGGTGCGTGTGTAACTGAGTTACACAAAATGAATTGCTCTTATCGAGGCAGGGGGTATACAGTGACCATGATCTGTGCACTGTTGTACTTTTTTTCTGCAGCAATAAAATCATAAAACTTTCTAGAAAATCATAAAGATTTAGAGGAGAACCCAAGAAGCTGGTCGGGTGATTGAATATAGAGTTACTATCATCACAATACTGTTATATCAAATGTCAATCAAATTAATTAATTGAGCTCTGTGTAAAAACTTTGTGTATATTGTGTAATAACTTTCCTATGTGACGTGTTAAAAAAATGTTGATATTGTTGATAAATAAAAATGTTATATTATAAAAATTCGGAAAATCTCATTTAATATATTGAAATTGCCATTTGAATTGTTCTTTTATTTTAAATAATTTGAAGACATCGCCGTGATTCCCCCTGTACTGCCGTGGCGTAACTGTGAGACACTCCATGGCACTAGGTGGCAGCATTTCATTGTGTGTTGTGTTTCCTTTCCTCCCGCACAGGAAGAATATTGAGCGGGAGAATTTGTGTTGTTGTTGTGGGCCAAATACAGTGACGGACTCGGAAAGATATTAATGCTTTTGTGGGGTATTAACATTTTATTAATTCATTTTCTCGGTTGTTTTGAACGTAAAACAATCGTAAATGTAACAGGAATGCATTAGCATTGAGGCTTTCAATTGTGTAAACAAAGAAGAGTGTACGGTAACGTTAATGTAATCGGCGAATGGCGGTCAGCTAGCTATCAGTAATGGGCATGTTGATAGCGAGACGAAGAACTGGACTATCTGCGGGTTTATGAGCTTCACTGGTGGACACACAGTCTCTGTAATCGGGGGTAGACCTCAACACGATGTCGCAGGTCAGTAACGTTAGTTACGAGTGTACTTAATGAACAAAAAAATCATCAGCAACCGTCTGTGGCAGTCTGTCAGTGGCTGCGCTTCAAAACCTAGTGAGCTCCCTACTTAGACAGCGTCTTAGGGCGTCATTACTGCTGAAAATTCTCTCTGAGTAAGCAGTGCATTAGGTTTTGAGACAAAAGCCAATGTCTTGTAAGAAACGAAAGTAAGTTAGAAATGAAGTGACAAGGCTGAATGATATAAAATGTTATATATACACATAAATTAATCAAAAGTGACAGTAAATTTGTTCACATTGCTCTAAAACATTTCTATTTCATATAAATAATATTTTTGTGAACTTGTTATTTATCAAAGAATCCTGAAAGGTCACGGTTTCCCCTAAAAATATTAAGCAGGTGCTAACCTAATATTAACCTTCTAAAGCACCAAATCAGCATACATGATTTCTAAAGGATCATATGAGACTGGATTAATGATGCTGCAAAATCAGATTTGACATCACAGGAATAATTACGTTTTATTTTACTATATATTATAGAAAACAGTTATTTTAAATAGTAATAACATATGGCAAATATTTATGATCACACAAATATCACAAATAATTATTTTTGATCAAATTAAAGCAGCCTTGGGGAACAGGCTTTTAATTAAAACCCCCACTCTTTGTATTGGTATTAGATATAGGTGTGTGAATTTTATGATAAATGTCAATGTGTTTTATATGTTATTTATTTATGTATTTTTTCCCCTTCATATGAACTTGTGAAGTTTGAATCAATTATTTCAGGTCAAAGCCAAAAAGAAACTGCATTATTTCCAAAAACAGGAAAAGTAAGTAATATGCCGCTTTCAAAACAGCTGTATTGGATAACGTTAATATCTTAACAAGCTCAATCAAGAGGCACATTTCATTACATGTTGCTGCTGATTTGCAGAGCTCATTCTAAACTCAAGGATGTCTTCGCCTTGCCTGACATTGACGCTCTCTTTGATGACATTGGTAATTATATTACATTCACCTCATAGTTAAAAATCTTCATCTAATTTTTTCGTGCCATTCATTCATTGTGTGAAACCATCCATGATGTTGTTATTGGTAGATGCTGACTCTGAGCTGGGTTTGCCTCTGCTTTCTCCATTGTCCAAAAGCACTGGTGTAAATGGTCAGAAAAAAGGCTCATGTGAACCAAAAAAGATGAAGGCATCATCTAAGAAGGTACACATGGAGTGAATCATCAGAAATCTGTTCTCATTGCCACAATGTGATGTTGATTGTTAATCAGATGAATCTGATTGTCAGGTACACAAGGATTCTTTGATCCAAGAAAATGGCATTCAAGAGGATGAAATAATTGATAGCGGTAACCCTACATCCACAAAAATCTCTTATTACTTGTGTTATCGTGACTATAATTTCCTGCTGTTATTGCTTTATCATCTTTAAAAAATGCATTTGAAATAAAAAAATAATAATAATTTTGGTAATTTAAAACATTCAATAATAAAACATTTTTACTTTCCCTGTAGTCGAGCTAGTTTTTGTAAAAATTTTCAGTGTATTTTATCACCTTCTTGTCATATTTCTTTTATTCCTTACAAAGAGAGTCCATTTAAAGAAATTGCTCCCATAAAGACATCCAGTCCTATTGCTTTGGCAACAGAGAGGGATGAGTCCGGGGATGGAGTCAGGCCTGTGGCTGATCCTCTTCTCTTTGGTGTTGAGGATGAGGAGCCCATTGGTGGAGACTTAAGCAAGATGTCCTGCATCCAGCAGTCAGAACTGCCGAAGGAATCCCTCTATGGGTAAGACTAAAAAAAAGTTTTTATAGCTGGTATTGTTTGTTTTGTTTTGTTTTTTTCATTGCCTTTCTGTTACATTATTTTTTCTGCTCTGAAAGGGATAGCGGGTCTCTGGCATCACCACCGGAAAAGCTTGAATTTAGAAAAACTGCTAAATCAAATGCGGGTTCCTTTTTAAGGTCAGTTATTAATGTATAACAAACAACAGTATTGTACATCTGCATCTTTTATTTTTTTCTCATAAGAAATATAACCTTAAATTGTATTTGATAGTATGAAGCTTGCAAAAAACACGAAAACGTCAATGCAAGCCACCCAGTCTACACCTCCAGGAAACAGGGAAGACTTGTAAGTTCACTCAAATTTACTAATGTTAAAACTGAATTTTTCCTGCAGATTTTTTTAATTAATCTACTTCTTTTTTATTGTTTAGGGATAAAGATCCTGGTCAGGTTTCTCCTGTTTTGGGTCAGAAGAGTGAACAAAAACTTCGGGTGGCAGAGCAATGCAGAAATCAAGTAATGGAGGATCCAGGCAAAGGATTGTCTTTCCAGCAGAAGCTTAAAAAAGCCATGATGCCTAAATCCCCATGGTGATTTTAAATGTGACGTTCTGAACATAAACCACATGAGCCGTTGTTACTTTCTTGTAACACGTTTATTTCTTATTCCATTAATAAGTTCCAGGAAACAAGCAGCTGTTCCAGCTCCTCCACCTGTAGATTTAGAGGAGGAGTTCATGATCCTGGACGATGAGGCCCCTGTTCTTTTCATCATCCCTCGCAAAGCAGAGGTCAGCAGGAACAAAAAACCTGTCCCAGCAGACACTGCAAAGGAGATGGTTCTTACAGAGCCGCACTCCACAGATCAGCTCCCGCAGAGTGAAGCGGAGACGAAAAAGCAGCATGGGATGGATGCTAAAAGAAACAAAGCACAAATCGAGTCTTGTAAACAAAACCCGAAAGGAAAACATGGAAAAGCTTCAAAAAAGACTGGTAAAGACTCTGTTACTCATGATGGTGTAGAGGATGAAGCAGACCCTGTAACCGAAGCGCATGAGGACAGGGTTTGTGATCAGACCTCTTCTCAAACTGTAGAGGGACACAAAGAAGTGCAAGCAGGTAAATCACACTTTTACCATATCTATGATATTATAATCTTAGATTTCTGATGTATACTTGATCAGTGCAACCAGTGCACATGCAGTGTAGCGTTCCTTTTCTTAGCTTTTTTTTTATTTAGTCTTAGTCATGCCAAATTTACTTTTTAGTTTTTATAATATTTATTCAACCATGTCCTGTTTTTTCTTTTCAAGTTTTAGTGGACTAAATGTCTGGGCATTTTAGTCTAGTTTTAGTCAATGAAATCCAAGTCATGCTTCATAATGGTTAAGATGATGGTAATGATTATTTTGCTTAAAGTCGTTATCAAAATTCACAACGATTGTTGTCATTTGATACATTTATTTTTTTATGTTTCATCAGAATTGTTGCACTTTCACCTGTAAACACAAACTCGTACACATGCTTTATTTCACCTTATCTAATTTCCTTATTTATTATAGACTTTATCATATAAATTAAAATGAACTATTATGTAATCTATATTATGAAATCTTTTTTTTGTTGATATAGATTACATTCATTAGTGCACAAATACATTTTACTATAATAGTGCAAATACTTTATCACTACATTTTTATTTACATTCATAAAACATTGATGGAGAAGAGAAGTATTTAAATTATTTATAAAATATTGATGGAAATGAAAGATTATGTGATGTATTGAAAAAAGTTTACACTTTTTACATATTTGAAATGTTGTTTTGTGTGATAGGAAAAGGCAAGAAACGGACAAATAGCAAAGCACTTGAGCCTGCTGAACTTTCTGACAAAGTTGAAACAGATGCAGGTGGCAGCCAAGAAATTCCAGTACCGGTGTCTAGAACCACAAAGAAATCTTCAAAATCATCTAAACAGGAGAAGTCAGGGTCAAATGTGAGGAAGGAATCCAATAAAGTCACTGCAGCAGCTCTTCACTCCACAAACTCTGTGAAATCCAATGAAAATTTAAAGAACAGCAAAAAGGAGGAAACTGTCTCTAAGACAAAGAAACAAACTTCTAAACAACAAATAGAGTTGGAAGAGATAGATCCTTCCTGTGATGAGCAAGAGCATGAACCTCCATCTGCCCTCAGTGAGCAAGAGGAGGAACAAAGAACAGGTCAGTTCCTCTGGCTTTTGCTTAATCGATAATTATGAATCAGTGATGAGTCATTTTGGTTAGATGGGCATTTAACGATCAAGACTCACAGATAATGCATCCCTGACAACTACCAGTCCTGTGTTGTGGAAAACTTACAATATTTTCTGTTTTATTTTTACACTGTAGCAGTGAATAAAAAATCTTCCACCAAGGAAGATGCCGTGGATCCAGCCAAAAAACAGAAGAAAAAAGAAATGCAAAAGCGGGAACCAAAACCAAAGGATCCGCCAACAACTGCATCTGACATTTCGTCAGACAGTCCTCTGTTTGCCAAGAGGAAAAGGAAACCTCCAGGAGAATGGTGGCTCTCTAGCCCAATTGAAAGTAGCACAGAGCTTCAGCCAACGCAGGTTTTGGGTACGACACAAGGGCTGAAAGC